GGTCAACAATGGATACAAAAGAAAGAAGGTTGGAGGTGGCAAAGTGAATAACAAAGGCGATACGGGTCGATGATCAACGCGTTAGCTAACGCGTAAGCGAAAGAGCACTAACGCGTTGACTTCTTCGATTCACGCGTTGACAACGCGTTAGGTGGTTCACTTATCTTCGAACGGTACTGTAGCATGTTACAAGAACATCTATGCATAGTTTTAATTAATAATAATAATAATAATAATAATAATAATAATAAAGTAAGAGAAAACCTAAACAGAAGAAAACTATAAATCACTCACAAATTCTACATACCTCATAAGAAGCATCTTTGGGAGGCTTGAGGAGCTCAAACAGGACAAAATCTTCATCATCTGGTTCACTGGCTATAAAAAAGCACAAAATGCTTTCATTAGCAAATAACAAAAAACAAACAAGGTTTATAGAGATCAATAATTATGGAACAATGTAGCAAAAAACTCATCTTACAAAAACAAAGAGACAAAGAGTGAAAATGGTCAACATAATTATTAACTACCTTGAATATTGTTTTCATTTGACAGCTGTGTCTTTGTCCAGTAGTTGAATGTCTAATGGTGAAAGAGGAGGGGGGAGAACAAATAAATCATCATTAGTATCGTCATAATCCTCCTCAAAATCTCCTGATTCATACTCACCAGGAAAAGCAACACCAAAACCAGCAGAAACCTCTTCCATGGTTTTTCCAGTACTAAATGGACTCACTCCTGTTTTGCATTTCTTGATTCCATCTTCACCTATTCTTGCACTGCTGTCTTCACCAGCATAATGCACAAAACAGTATCTGCCAGTTTTTCATCAACATATTTCTGGCATCCATTGAAGCTACAATCTGCTAAACAAAATATAGTATTTGTAAATAAGTACTAGCTATCTATGATTGCTACCTTTAACATACACTCATTGATTAACCCTTTATACCCTAACATCAGTAGGCATATTCTCCGTACCATTCTCTATACATTTCCTGAACTGTTGACAAGGAGAATTTGTTTAAAAATCAAGAGCTTTATAAGTTGTTGGTCATTTCCTTGATTCATGTGGGATGTGGGGTGATATCAGGGGTGATTTTGTAATGAGAAATTAGAGGCTGGCCACTCTTAGGGTTAAAGGGTTAAGATTTTTTCTTTCATTAATGTATTGCAAACTGTACATAACTAGTAAAGCAGATCCTATTTAATGGTTCAGAGATGACCTTTCTACAAGTAACTGGAGTTGAGGCAATGGAAGATATTATTGCATGCTCAGTGTATTGTAGCATAGTATTTAAAAGTTTCCTGTTTCTGAATTCCAGCAGTGGATAACTCTTGTATTCCAGCACTGTTATTTTCCAGCCCCTCTCAGCTGTTCTCAGTTTCTCAGCAGGAGTTAACTGTTGTATTCCAGTACTGTTAATTTCCAGCCCTACACAGCTGTTCTGAGATTACCGGCAAGGAATAAATATTCTTTTACAGTACTTACTTGTATTTTCCAGCCCCTGCAAGCTGTTCTGTCATTTTTGATTTCCAGCTGGAGGTAACTGTTATTTCTAAGCACAATTATTTTCTGGCCCCTCTAGGCTGATTGGAGTTTTCCTGCTCAAGTTGACTGTTATTTTCTGTAAAACAGAATAATATACATAAGGACCCAGGCATGAAGTGAAGAAACCTTCCTTGGAAACCTTGGAAACAAGACAATGTTTTTAATTGCTCAGATCAAAACCAAAAAATTTTACTGTTTGTTAAAAACAATGTTATATAATGTTAAATGTTACATAATGTTAAAAATATCAAGGCCAACAACAGTAATTCTGAACACAAAATTTAATAAATTTGACACCTGTGGAGTATATAGCATTGCTTATGAATGAGACAAGAATGTGCTTTTAAATTTCCATCATACCTGAATAATGTCTGTGTAAAATTTGAGCTCAAATGTAGTATTTTTAACTTATAAATCTACTCCTAGTAAGTGGCCCTGGCAACCTTAATCTTTACATGTAACTGCCAATAAAATAACCCTCCATCTTCATAAAGATCTAAGTAAGCTTTTAAGGCCTTCCTGTCTTTTTTTTTAAAGCATGGCCTCACAAACTTTTTCTTTTGGCTCCACCAATAAAAAACATTTAGGGAAAGTCAAATAATCAACAACCACAACTAGTACTTAAATACTAAGTTAGCAATTGACTGAGACACCATTAGCACCACAATAAAAAATGTAAGAACCCTCAACTGGCTGAAACTTGCATCATTCAGTTGCATACTATTCTTCCCACATTTCCTAATAAATTAACCTATATTTAGTGGATACCTCTATAACACAGACACTAGGGAAGGTTCTTAGAGAGGTTACCTTTAATACTTTTATAACTATAAAAGTAATAGCTTTCGCTGCAGTTTAAATTGATTTAATTTTTGAGATACAGTTAACTAATTCTTCACTTATCACACAACAGCTGTGCAAAGCATATCAATTGTAAATAACAAATGTGGAGAGTTACAAATTACTTTCAGTACTTTATAGTGCAAGCAATGTGTTCCTTACCACCATTTTTCAGTGTTTTCTTTCCATTTACAGACTCAAGTGGCTGTAATGAAAAAACAAATTCAAACAATTCTACCTCACTTCCTAAAGCAAGAAATCACAAGAATAAACAAGTGTAGAAACTTAGACATACTTAGGCTAGAACCCTAATTCAAAAATAAAAAAACTACCCCCTGCAAAAAAAAATGTACCACTGTCTTTGGTACCATCCTGTTCCTCCCCTATTTCCTTTTTTTTTTTTTTTTTTTTTTTTCAAATTTTCTTTTCTATCAACTTTCAAACACATACCATGCTTCTTCTTGATGGGAAGAGGTTCCATAAAAAACCCAAATAACCAGAAAGATTACCAGCAAGATAGATAACCAAATGGATAACCAAATGAGTAGTGGTATCAAACTAAAGCTTGTAGCAATTCACCGACCTGACTATTACACCCTATTCTTTTTCCCCAGGTCTATGTGAACTAGATTTTGAGCACAGAATGTAATACCTCACCAAACATCTGCTAGGATGACTCACTTAAAAGTGTGCATGATTATCATCTCTTGCTGAGATAGCACACTGCACTTCAATGTTTTTATTACTACACATATAGGGGCTTTGGTAAGATTGTGGAAAGGAGGGAAAACATTTGAGCAGCTGGGAGGGACAAAAATGACAGTGTGGCAGCCATTTATTCCCACTTGGATAGCAAAGTCTGGGGAACCTTTCCCTGGAAATTTAAAAGTTTGGATGTCCATTTTAGGCCACTATTTCTCAAGTTGGCTAAAAATTATATCTGCTACAAGAGAGAGTGAGGGAGAGTGTTGACACTGATTTAATGAATAGAGTAGCTTTTACATAACGAACTATATAAACATTATATACATAGTAATGTTGTCTCATAGATGATGTCTGTGTGGTCTTGTTTGATTTTTACCTTTGCCTTGCTCAAAAATATGAAATTGTGCCCTGGACAACATTAAATTTGGGGAACAGTGCTGTGATTTCTGACACAGTATATTTAAAGCAATTACTGATGGCAAAGGAATTAATTGGTACTTCAATGATGAATGTAGAGCACAGCAATCAATGTAAACCATCATACCAAAAAACATGGTGACTGGTACATTCACCTAGAACTCTTTGCACAAGAAAATCCTGGAACCACTCAAAAAGTCAAGCAGAAAAAATTGGAAAAATTTAAAATTTGCATACATAATGTTGTTGTTTTGCGAAATATTGCTTTCTACATGTGTCTTACCCTAAGAATAAAGGTAAAATTTACAGGCACCATCTATGTCTGTAAGTGGATTGAATCTATTGGGTAAACACCAGAAAAAATAATAATATTGATACAAATAGGCTGAGGGTTTAGTATAGGTATGCTGTGGTTTAGTTTTATCCTAAGTTTATTCTTTTACTTTTAAAAGAGGCCAAATTGATAGTGACATATCATCTCACCATAACTTAGGCTAGGAGCTAAATTTTATCTTTCTCTACACAAAATGCATTTTTCATTCATATCATTAACAAAACCAAAGGAAACTGATTTTTACACCAAGGACAAGCACAACAGATACCTTTCATCTGCACTTTTGTTTACTTTGCTTTGCTGCTGGTTCTCATCCATGCCTGTATAAATGATATTGAGTAAGGGTGAAAGGATTGGTATTTTCTTCACAAAGATAGTTGCAGAGAGTGTCTCCATTGATATATGGATTACCAGACACTCACAATGAACTCCAACAAGACCAAGTTCTTGCTAACAAGTGTAGGAGCAATAATCGCTAATAATGGGCAATAGTCTGTATTGAATTAAGTATTCATTTGTGCATGAATTAGTATTTATTTCATTTTAATGTTTGTAACACACAATTGAAAAAGTATGTAAAATGTGGTAACAAAATACATATCATTGTGGTATTCCTCATAATTTAGTTCAAGGGGCTTTATTCTAAATAGATCAAAAGAAAGAAAGTGGTATATGTCAGCCACTGATTTAAATAGAAAAGCACATATTATTAAGTGATGAGTAATTTTGCTGCAAATTTGTGCCCCTCTGGGTGAGCAAAGAGAATGATGACCCAACTGTTACTTGCTGCAGAGCGTTAGGAGCCAGCACCCTATCCTTTATAAGAGACCAGATCTTCATCATATCATCATAAGTTAACTTTCCAGGATATGTGAAGTTTAACATCGACCATACATCCTAGCTGAATTTTTGCGTAGCCCCATACATTTACAATGAATACATGTCTTCCACTGTACCCATAACAGCCACCAGTGTAGACACTATGAGACTGCTACATGCAACATAATACAAATTATTGAGGCTGGAAGAAAATCACAAGTTTTTGATCATTGAAACACCGAGATCTGTCCTGGTTTTTAATCGACGTGGAATATCAAGTGTTGCATGTCTCAAACAAAATAAAAAAGTCAGTCCTCGACACAGAAGGATTCAATGAATCCAGGTATCATGCAGCTACATGAAATCTACTGGAATTTAGCACAAAACTTGAACGCGATCTTTGAAGAATGGTTGTAATATTTAAAATTTAACAAAATACTAGCATGAAGTGCAACGAAAACCTTACCTTATTGTACTAGCTCCAACAGAAAAGTAAGGAAAGCCATGAGGCAATGTCAAATTCTCGTCTTCCTAGGCTTTCCAACGTATGGAAGGAAATTTCCCAAATACCTCGCACTTAAAAACGCAACCAGAATCTTACTCTTTCACCAATCCGAAGCGTCCCAAAAGGTGTCAAGGATAGCCCATGAAATTCTCAAACTTCGAGCGCGGAAATCTTAACGATCTTTTTACACTTTTGCTTTGCATCCCTCCCCTAGTTGGGAAGTGACACGCAGAAGACACGATCACAACGCACTTTGATTGGAAGAAGTAAAACTGCATTCTATTGGTTATAATGTGTGAGGACATAACCATAACGGAAGACACGACTGCAACGCTACAAGCGGTAAGAGGGGAAGAAAGGGACTAAGAGGTGTGCCAGGTCCCCAGGGAAAACGCGGCCTAAGAGGACCACCGGGGCCCCCTGGGAAATCAGCACAACAGAGAACAAACCATAGAGGTGGAGGTCAGTTAGGTAAGTTATTTAATCTGTTGGTTTTTTTTCTCAAAATCTTTTTTTTTTTTTAACCCTATTCACCTGAAACTTTAATGCCTTTCCATTCGGCTGCTTTTTATTTTTCAAAACGATGTTAACAAAAATTTTTCTCTACAGAATTGCCACACTTCATTTCAAAGCCTTCCCCCACCATAACATTAAAAGAGACACAAAATGTTCTAATACCATGTAAAGCAAATGGCTTCCCACAACCCGTGATCACGTGGTACAAAAATGGACACCTGATAGAAAAGGAGAGGAAGTACTTTGGAGAAAGGAGTCTAAACTTAGAGAAAATTCAATTCCAGGACCGTGGTGTCTACACCTGTACAGCGGAAAATCTTATGGGCAGGGCAGAGTTATCCGTCAATGTCAGCGTGAAAGGTCTTTCTAAGAGATTAATAATCTCTCGCTGTCTTTATAGCGCAATAGTTGGCATTCAGTTTCATATTTTCCCTTCATTAAATTCTTTAATGTAGCTATTTATAGTTATACAGATTATTCATTTTTAATTCTAAAAGGTCCAGATACCTCCAGTTCATTATTTGCTGGTTAAAAGAAATGCACTTTCTAGTTATAATGCGAGCTTAACGTTCTACGCACAGCAATCGGTCACGCACGCCTTGCGACAAAAAACTATTTGAATTCATCGTTCATCGCGAGCGTAAAATTGCGGATAAATAGCTCGCCTTATAAACTTCAATCAATATTCTCGTCAAAGCTTGCCGGATCACTGGTGCTATAATCTACATTATGATACTGCTGAACACTATTAGGATGTCCTAGTATGCATTTTGTCTCATTTTGAACTTCGTTTACATTTTGTGGTGTAATGTTTTTTTGGTAGTACCAGCAAAATTTATTACCGAACCTAAGCGTTCCATAACTGCTTACAAGACATGGGACACTGTGCTCCAATGTGACATCTTTGGTTACCCTTCCCCTGTGATAACATGGACAAGATCAGGCGAGCAGCTTTCAGTCAACAGGCATTTTAGTAACGGTTCCCAACTTATGATTCAAAACACAACAGAGGACGATGCAGGCGCTTACGTTTGCCAGGGAACCAACCAAATGGCAAACGTTATGAGAGTGATATGGGTTATCGTTAAAGTTGTTGGTGAGTATAAAAATGTTAAGAACCCACAAATAGACAACAAAAGAGTACAATAAGAGTCTAAACAACCTTTATTGGATTTATGCAAACTGTTAGCGATTCAAATGGTAAATCTAATTTTGTTTGCCTATCTGTAAAGTGAATCCCTACATGGTATCCAGTCCTCCCGGTGAAATCAAGGTACGACATGTTGGTGATACTGTGACATTAAACTGTTCAGCCGGTGGCTCGCCGTTACCCAAGGTCATGTGGTTCAAAGGTGGTCGACGTATTAATTTCAGAGTTATGAATGACGGAATAAATTTGATATCGAGTGAAGTTGTCATTCATCGCTTCAAGCCAAGTGACTCTGGGAACTACTCATGTCTCTTTTATAACGACAAGAATGTTACCACGGAATCCAACACAACTATGAGTATGTCGCATTTTGTTCATCAACAATGCCTAAATTCATTGCGCGTACCTTCTTGTTAACTAGATTTTTAGCATTTTCTGGCCCTCATTTTAGCACGGCACTGAGAGGTAAACTGGAAATTAAGCACCGAACACTTCTTTTTATGACAGCCTAAATTAAAGCTTTTTTTATATGACACTTACTTTTTTGTCTTTCCATTTCTAAGAAAGAAGAAGCCGCACCTTTTTTTTCTAATCTTCGCCTTCCGTTGTCCTTTTCCATTGACTTATTCTGACTGTTTGGTCATTTATTTATTCATCATTAGCTCTCGTCAACTGTGGTGATCCGAGTTCTCCATCAAATGGACGTAAACATGGCTCACGATACTGGACTGGTGAATCTGTGTCCTATGTCTGTGATCCCCAATATCACTTAGCTGGTCCGGCAATAAGAATGTGTTTGCCCTCTGGTAATTGGAGTGGGTTACAACCCTCATGTAAGTTTTTTGTCAATATTCGTTGTCCAAATTAAGAACAAGAGGTCAAACAAAAAGGGTAATAATCGAGGTATCGGCACAGTAATCAGGTAGACTTTGTAAAGCCTTTCCTCAAGCACCTTAATCATAACCATTGCAATTTCCTCAAATGTGATTGGTGCATTAGCTGCTTTATTTTTCATTAATCATTCTGTAGATCTGTAATCGTACAGTGTAATCAGGCAGTTGAAGTAGCCAATCATACTAAGCCCACTCAGCTACATCCACCATTCACAGAATTTATCACAATAACCATAGCAACAACCACTTATCCTAAAAAAATTGAGGAATTTCCAAAATGGAAATTTTTTTACTTAAGACATTGTCTCTACCATAGATATTTGACCTAAATGTATTTGTTGTTTTTGAAAATTGTAACTGTTATGATCAATTGGTAACAGGACTTCTTGTCGTCCAATTCTGTCTATCATCATACTCGTAATTAATAAATCGGACTCCCGCTTCACGGTCGTCCAATTATGTTAATCACTCGCATTATTACAGACCAAATTGGACTCCACTCGGTCTTATTACCATTATATTTATATATATTAAATAAATTCCATATCAACAACTGAAATTATCTAATTCATATTTCCCCATTATTGTGGAAAATATCACGAAGGCATTGAATTCTTGGCGGTAAGTGGAGTATTTCTCACATGCTGGCATATCGTGGGCCATGACTGAGCAATGTTTATGTCGTTTCTGAGGCGTTAGAGCACAGTGATGGTTTATAAGAAGTGGCTGCAAAATTACCAGCCAACCGTAAAAAAATTACTTATTTTTTGAAAATTCTGACGTTTCTAAATTTTTTAAAACGACAACGCTTATAGAGCAATTTTAAATTGAGTGACGAAAGTATTATGGGAATCGGTATAGGTTTTGCTTTGCTTTGCTCTGTGATTGGTATAAAAGACTCGTGCCATTCTCTTCACCAATCACGCCTTGGTCACCTGCGTTTTCCCGCGCTTTAGGCAGTTTAGTCGGTTTTACTTTGAGTTCTCAGTGGCTCTTAGAGGTCATTCCTTTCTTCTGATTCGCTGTTGTGATTACTTTGGTTTTGGTTTAACGACATTCAATCGAAGAGGGCTCTAATGATTATAATATAAATAATAATAATAGCGATGATAACAGTTATACAGGAGAGGATATTCTCTCTTGCAACTATATTGATAATATTAATAATATTGATGATGTAAGTGAGATATTGAAATTAGTATCAGATACTACTAATTACTATCATTAACTGCAATTTAAGGTGGGAGAATTTGCCATTCTTTGGAAAGCCCGATGCATGTTTTTATGTTTGGGAAATATTTTGGTAAATATAACGGGCCTCTTTCTGGTTGAGATTCCGGTTATTTTTTTTTCACTTTTATTTTTCATTTTCTTACATATTACAAGATATTCCTTTACCCGCGGATAGCAAATGCTAATCGAGGCGGGTCAAATTTGTTTATTTATTTAGTTATTTTTTACTAAAAATGGCAGATGTTATTGTAAAGGAGAAAAAGTCCTAGCGTTTCTAAGTGTACGAAAAATATTGTAAAACTGGTTTAATTTGATTCAATTTTGTTGTGTTTGAATTTTAGCATTATCTCATCAGGCTCCATATAAGAATCTTCAGTTTCTAGAATATTGAGAAGAACTCTTTTTGTTTCTTTTTTGAAGGATTTCTTTGACAAATTTTTGTATTCATTAGGCATCTCATTCCAGGCTTTGACACCGACACGCGAAAAGGCTTTTTTTTTTTGCATTTTAAGCCTAGACGACTTAACGCTAAAGAATTGTGACGTTGATGAGCGAGTATTATATGTATAATTGTTTGAAGTTCTCGTAAAAAGTTTCGTGATGTTAGAAGGTGCACTGTCGTTATGAACATCAAACATTAATTTACATACAACTTCATAATATAAGAAGGTAATTGGCAGAATTTTCGCATTTACAAATGAGGGGATTGCATGTTCTTTTCTATCAACAAAGAAGATTAGACGTAATACTCGCTTTTGGAGAACAACAATTTTGTTTAGATAGTTTTTTGACGCATTACCCCAAGCAACGAGTCCATTATTATTGGTTAAGTGGATCTGAATGCTAAATTTGGATTGCGCGTTGGGTAAGGATTCTGTGTGTTAACAGAGCCTGCTTGTCGAAAAGCGTGCGGCTCACTATTGGTATACGATGGTTTCTAAGAAGAGAAGTAGTGCCACTTAAAACTCTACATTTTGATTCAAGAAGGAGCTTTGAGACGATGAATTGACTCTCCAATATTTGAGGATCGAGCAATTTATCTCACTGAGGCGTTATTACTCAAACACACGAAAAGGCGCTAGGCTTCAGAAATATTCTCATATAGTTTTTGTCTTGAAATAAAAACTTTCTCGTGTGTTCAAAATTTATAACATTTCTCGGGTAATACATAGCTAATAAAGAACCCATGAACAGCAGGCATGCAGTCCTCAGTTTTTCTGCTTGCATTTTCAACGGTCCTATGTGCCAAGTTTAAACATGTTAAAAATCAATTCGGATGAAATGTGTTTGACGAGGAAATTAACTTATTTTAATTTTCAAGCCTGTGAACAACGATGATTTCTGAAATACTTACCCTTCAGATAATTGTCCCACTTCGAATAACTGAGATGACAACATGAAGGCACCGGGCGTTTATATGAAAATCTCAATACTTTCTCTATTTGTCAGGTTTGAAAATACCATCAAGTATCATTCCAAGTTATGACTTGTTCCAGAGCCTTCTGCGATTTTTGGATTCAAATTCTGGCAAACGCTGGACGTTATGTTACCGCGCCTCTTCTCACGGCTGGGCAGCAAGTACTTTTCACAGTCGCTGTGATGGAAAGCCGCACACTGTTACTATCATAAGAAAAAGCCCGTACTTGTTTGGAGGATACACCAACATTGCTTGGGGTGAGAACATAGGGTTATTTAGAGAATAAATTTAACTGCCTCTAATCCATCCGCTAACATCTACGCGTAGTGTGCGGTTTGTAATAACAATCAGAATAACATTTTAAAAATGGAAAAAAAAAACCGTATGATAGGTATTATTCCTGCATTTTTCCCCCTAAAACAATTAACTGAGAACTATAAGCAAATTAAACCTGCTAAATATAGATTCAGACGGGCATGTAGCCTGATACTTTTTCAAGTGAAATAGCATGATAATTAACGACGCACCAATGCAATTTAAGGTTTACACATTTTGGGTACATGGAGTTTACGTGCACAAATATGATGCACAGGTCGAGAACAAGAGTACCTCAGCCTAAAGGTCATAATATTAAATTCACTTTACTGTACAAATCAGTGTCCCGTGTCTCATTCTTGTTTGTACAGAGGCTGTCTCAATATTGACCTTGTCTCTCTCCTGGCCATCGCTACGTATACCACCACTGGAACTTCACTGTCGATTCAAAACAAACTCAAGTTATGTACTATCACTGTCACTTCACTCTTACTGTCCATTGAACCTAATAATGACAACCCCCGCCCTTTGTTTTTTTTTTTAAAAAGAAACCCTAGACTATTATTACTAAAAATAAATCCTTGACCCTACTAGTTTCTATCCTCCTATCCGACCTACCTCCTGTTTACTTAATAATGACCAGTCTTTTTCGATGTCATAAATAAACTCGCCCACAACCTGTAGAAATTTATCACTAAGTAGAGGGGAGGCAAAAATCAACCAACCGGAGCTCCGCCTCGAAACTTCGCCAGATCTATATTTTTTAAGGTTGCTAATTATAATATCTTTATGTTACATCGTCTGTGGTTCAACCTTCTTAATACTATTTACATTTGCATCTCTTTGAACCCGTCAGTCTTCTTTTACTTTTAGTTTATATCACTCGATAATCATGTTCTCTTGCCTCAGATTATTTATTGCCTTACAATTTCTATGCTTCCATTCACAAATAATTTATTTACCTTCTATTTCTTTACATTGCTGTTATTGTTTTATTTCCTCTTCAGATTCCAGTAACACATACGGCTACTCGTCCACTTCTTTTATATTTTCGCTCATCAACAAAGAAGGACTAGCACCATTCAAGAGCACGGTGAAATACCCGGATTACGCAATTTATAGGCACAGAAGTTATGGTCCAACATTTGGTGGAGGACACGAAATCCACATTAGCAATAATGCCAACAGTAACACTAAGTCAAACACATATTTTGGTAGTGGGTACTACTCATTGCCAAGTGGAGTACAGAACAAGCAAACAATCCTTGCTGGGTCTTACAACTTCACACCCGATGAGGTGGAAGTATTTTATCTCACCTGAGTCACATTGTTGGGAGACCACACAATGAGTAACCGGCTGAAACGAAACTGTTAAAGTATGTGATTTATTTCAACCAAATAGATCGTAAAGAACTGTAAGGTGATTTTCAAAAGATAAATACAGTTTGATTTTAATATGTGGAGGGCAGCCTGAGAAACGATAACACGCAGGGTAAAACCAAACCCAAACGTGTTGCAAGGGTGTAGCTAGGGGGGAATCCTGGGATTTTTTGTCACATTTAGAAAAACCAGGAGCCAATTAGGTCGACATCACACATCACAATCTGTTCTGTAACCTATGTTTGACACAGTGTGACCCCCCCCCCACCTTTTTGAAAAATCCTGTTGTTCCTGCGTGCCATATCGTAGCCATCTTAAAGACTCGGAGTTCAATTTTTCCTTTTTTTCACGGTGCCTTTGTTATCGAAATAACAAATAAGATATCGCCTAATTTTGTTGAAATCGTCACAAAAATTGCGGTTTAAGTTTAGAAAATGACAAGTGCTTCTTAAAACACTTTCTGGTCGTTTACACTTGCAGAGAAATAGGTCCGTGTTCACGCCTGACGCAAACTATAATCATAAACGTAGTGCAAGCCGTAAAAATCGTGACTGGACGAGTTTTACATGATGCACCGTGGTCATTACAGGGATCAGTAAACGAGCCGTCTGAATTACAGATATGATTATCGTTCCTACATTTGTGTCCATTTCAGACCTCTTTACTAAAGGCTCCAAAGTAGGCTCGAACGGTTTTATCGAGTAAGGTTTCTTATCTTCTTCTTTATTGGGATAAAATTGGTGCAAGAAAATTGTAGGTTGCATGATTAGTGTAACCGCGCGCGCTTGTTGTGACCAGAACTTACCAACGAGACTTTTCGGCTTTGCTGATGAAAAAGTAGGAATATAATATTAAGTTTTAAATGTGTGGACTTGTGATATTTCTGTGATCTAGCGCCGTTGTATTAAAGCTCGTGGACTTTAAAACCTTCAAAAGATCACCTGGGGTTTGTCTCTCAACGGGCATTTATTCGTCAGTCGTTTATTTGCCGCTGGTGTCGAGAAAAATTTTGTTACCACTTTATTTCATTTTTTTTTTTAAATATTTCAGGTGTCACATATGTTGACTACCGCTTTATAGATCTTTCAACTAACAAAGATATAAAAATCATTTTCAAAAATAATCAAAAGGTTTATTCAAAATGTTCTGATAAGAATTAAATGTGCAATAACTGTTGTCCTGGTGCAGTAGCACAGAGATGATCTCCAAGAAGCAAGTATATTAATTGGCGTATATATTTCAACACGCAGCGCAGAACGAAACTCAATCCAGCGACGTAATTTTCAGATATTAAATTCCAAGCTAAATATAATTTTATCTTTATATCTATTGTATTTTTCTATTTTGCTTGGCGACTCAATCCAGCGACGTAATTTTCAGATATTAAATTCCAAGCTAAATATAATTTTATCTTTATATCTATTGTATTTTTCTATTTTGCTTGGCGAAAAACTCTCACGCTCATTTTGTTTGCATTGGGTGCCCTGAAAAGTATTAATGTCTTTGTTTCGGTGCAAGCCTTCGGCACTCGATTCACGTTCTCTAAAGAGTGTATTTAAATAACAAAAGCACATTGCGCATCTCACTTACGAAACCTGCACTTACGATAATCCTCAACTAGACTTCTCTATGCCTTAAGCCTATTGAAACTACAGATCACCTGAAATCCTCATGATACCCGATCAGTACATTTTCTTTAATGGAATCTAGGCTGGATACACCATAGGTGTTGAAGAAAAAATTCGCTTGTGTACTGTCACTAGAAAAATGGAAGACTGAACAATAGAGTACCTTATTCTTTTCATGCGGATGTTGAAAATGTTAAAAAACTCTCGAGTTCCGTGACCTATTTTCATAATTTTTATCTGATAGACAATCATGGATTCGATCGATATCAAATGAAATTTTCATGGGTTGATCTGCTTTGTGTAGTTTGCAAAGACGTCGGTGATTGTCCTCTACGTAATATCCTAAAAAAAAAAAGAAAAGCCTATTCAATTCATATCCAAAAAATGATTACATCTCGAGGACGAATTTCCAAGAGTCAGGTGGGCTCCAGTCGTTTTCATTCCCTGTCAGTAAAATCTTAGTAAAAGGGGGTCTACTAGAGTATCCATCAGTACTTGCTTTCTGCAGCACGCAAACACACGCACGTTCATTATCTACACATAATTAACACACTTTCGATCACGAATATACCCGGGAGCGTTTCACCGATCTGATAAACATTTATTGCTCATTGATGTTCCTGCTAAGGACATTACCAGGTGCGTGACCTACTCGTGTAGCTTCTTCTTCACGTTTTGAAAAGATAATTTTTCAGACTCACGAATTTTTCAGACAAAAGAGTGAAATCTTATACTGTCAGTGAAGGCTCTCAGGATTATATTTTCAGAAGAGCGATAAGCATCCCTTGACACAGAGATCGTGGATTGAGCCGATTTAGAGAGATTTGTCAAAACTCTATAATCGAGTCCATTTACTTGACTGACATGTACAATATCGACACCAAATCTCACGCGAAACTTTTTTACCCGTCATTAAGCAAATTCTTAAGGCACACAGTTCAACGCTCACATACACACGTCTACGTTGTCAGGAAAGACTGCCGAGTGAACGGATCTCACTAATGGGTGTCTTAGAAAAAATACGTGAAGGTGTGACATATTATTAAGGAAATTCACATACAAACTACTCGGCGCTTGCCTTACCAGAGCCGATAAAGAACGCAAGCTTTTTATAAATCAGTTCACTAGGGGTAAATTATTTGTCGATATGAAGCGTCTATACTGAAATTTGTTTCTTCAGGAATAACGATTTGGCTCCCAGAGCCATCCGGCGTTTATCCATTGCGTGTGACTTTTGGAACTAGATTGCTGGTAACAGAAGTATTTGTGGGCCGACTAAAAATTGCGCCGAGCACGCACATGACGTCTTTTTTTTTTTTGCAGATCACGTTACCGGACTCAACCTTGGCTTTTAAACACTCAGTGTAGAAAAAAATCAATAACACGAAAAATTAAAGTAGTGACCGAATTTATATTGTTATTTCCGAGAAGCCTGTTTCCATTTCTTAACAAATGCACGTGCACGTATACTTCGACATCACCGGAAGGGTTGGGAGTTAGTCGCGATAAAATATTACCTAATTACTGATTGCGCAACTGGGAAGTCTCGGGAACCTGTATAAACATTTATTAGAGCCAAGTATAGCAACAAAGAAGTAAAGTCGATTTGTATGCTCAAATAATTGAAATATTGCATTAGATTATTTATGCAATAAAAATTAATGTAAAAAATAGAACAGAAACAAGATACGATCGACGCGATTCAATCGGAATGACTAGTAACTCGTCGACGATACTAAATTTGAATAGATGTAACTGTAGCCAGTTAAACTGTGATATATTTCAGCTGAGTAAATTACACAGATCTCTGTATCTCAGTAAGGCTTTCTTTCTATTGATCGATTGACTGATTTTTATCGATTTCTTTAGTTTTGAATGTAAAGTGTGCCTAGGCTTGTTAGATTTTCCCAAGAGCACACACTGTTAAAGCCAGGTGGAAATACCCTCATAAAAATTTAATGGTTTTCCCTTATACTGCTAAGTTAAAATAATATTTCCCGAAGCAAAACTCGTTTTTTTCTCTTTCTGATTCGTTAATGCTTGTTTTTCATTGAAACTCCAAGGCTCGCAATATCTCATAAAAAATTAAACAATATGTCTGAACGAATATTGGCGAGAATTTTCGATGGTGGCGAGGCGTCAAAGTGCGTCACTGGAAAATACTTTCCACCCACCTCCTCGAAATGAAATCATCCTTGAGTTACTATTTCTGCCGAAGTTTATTTTAGTCAATTTATATGCAAATTTTACTTAAAATTGAAAGCCTATTTTAAAAAAAACCGTAAATAAAAATAAATTGTTTTAAAAACACTGTGGCATGCATAATTTCATCGTGCCTTAATTTCTCCTTTCAGAATAAGAAGCGTGAATGACTTCCTTCACCTGCTAGTGAAAACAGTTTTACATACTCAAACCGCGCAATAATTGCTATAGCAACCATCCCTCGCCCTAAATTTGTGGGTGGCGAAAACATAGCCAACACGACCGTCAAGAGAGAGTATTTATTGTAGCAGTCAGGTTTCCCTTCGCGTATAATTAGCTTTAACACTACTCTTTTGTGATATGAAACAGTTCCACAATTCCAATTTTTGTGCAATAAACTGCACAGTTTGAGGTAAAGTAGAACGTCTCCTCCACGTGCATGATCCTTAACCCCACGACTCGTGCTCTCCTTCTGATTGGCCAAGCGATTGAATGCGTTACGTCATCTAATCACACATTCAGGGTTCGGGTGACGTTTTGAATCAACCGTAGCGAAGTCCGAAGTTTACAACAAGCCACAGGCGAAGAAAATCGTGTCTGTACGATTTGGCAATCACCCTTTAAATTTTTTTCCGATTTCATCTCATTCCCTTTTTACCTCGTAAGACCTCCTTTCAGCAAGGAGAGTGATTGGGTCGCCGTTAAGAAGAGAAGTAACACTCGTGGCTCGTGACGATTCGATGCAACTTGGCGAAGTCCGCACTGCGAAGGCAGGCGATTTTGAGCATTTTCGTCGACTGGCAGACAGCGTCGAAGGCTGGAATTTACAGTATGATAAACAGGGAACGAAGGTGTACTCCAAAGTCAAAGAGGGCTCTACGGTTAGGCTCATAAAGGTGAGAGAAAAATACGTTAGATTCAACAGTAAAAGCTAATTTCGAAGACCATAACCTACAACTCGGCCAGTGTTAATTTGACTATTTACCTACCGACGAGTTGAGTTATTGAAAGTAAGAGAGTTCAGTGTACTGGAACTAACCCTCCTCTCTATGAGACTTGCCAAATAAATTATCGTTGAACCTGGTCAATTCTGTTGTTGCGGTCGCGATAAAAGATTGTGGGAAGAAAATTAAAAGATGTCCCGAAAATTCTAATGATATTTTGAGTTAAATTTCGTAGACGATCGATATTAATTCTCTTTGCTTTATTTCCGTTAATCCCCCTGAAATGATCGCTGTTAAATAGGCTTACTCCTTTATTAGAATTGATAGGTTTGCTTTAGCAGAACGATCGTTAATACAGTCTCATAAGTGTGTTTTACTCTTAAATAATAATGGCCTTAACTACACGTAGCTCTTTAGTGAAGTTTGATGTGGCTTGCCCTGTGTTTTGCATTTGAACTCAAGCACTGTGCGACTTGTAGAGAAATATAATAGGCGATAAACTTATTTATCTTCTTTAACAGAGAAAATCTTTCATCAACATTATGTATGACACTTTGTCGATAAGCTGACACAAAAATTACACTCGGGAAATGTCGAAATATGTTCATGTTCACCGTTATCTTATTTCCAATTCTTTCCTGCTGTGAAATTGGCCGTAAAGTCATGCAGCGATCCGCAATGGCAAGAAAGCTAAATCACTTCCTGCAGATAATATGCCTTTTTAAAAATATACTGGCCACAGATTTTTCGGCAGAAAAATCTTTTCTGGAAAGGACTATAAAAAATTACCGAACAAAGAATTTTGATGGAGCTAAGCTGATGGAACTTATATGTAAATTTATTGGTTAACGAGAAAATGCCGTTTACCCCGGTCCCAACCTGCAGTTTTTTCAATTTGCAAAAAATATGTCATCATTAAGTCATGCTCACTCTTTGTAATAGCTGGAAAGTTTCTCTCGATTGATATATCATGTCAACATTTATTTAAATAGTTACTCGAACGGGTGTTTTATCTTGGGGGCATCTGGGCTTTTTGATTTGTGGTCTACATTTAAACATTCGTTGTGGCAGCTTTTGGTATTCGTGTTGTCTCGTGGTGAAGGTTGTTCACGTACAAATTCTAGTTAGCTTATTTCCACCGTTCATTTGTACTTGAAGCTAAGGGATTTTGGTGTGCAAATTTCACAGCAGATAATACAATTCGTCGTTTTGAAGTTTAGGAAAACTTAAAACTCAGGCTTCTTTACTACTAATTGAAAAATAACATAACCTACATATTGTGTTATTCCTCAGTCTTCACTTAGAGGCTCTCCAAAAGTTGATGTCAAAAGCCTTGTAGCTTCAATTTAAAGGGGCTGTCAGCCACATGTATTTTTGTCAACACTTCATCAAAGAGCAGAGTCTCAGATATTTTTGTTTATTATGGTTTCCCAACCTCCTCAAGGCCTTTTTGGAAGTAGCCTTGTTGCACAAAGTGTGCAAACCTTTTTTGTTCGCTTGTGATTCTTGCTCTCTGATAAGAAGTTTCTTTGATGCAGATTTTGTAACAGAAACTAGCAATAAAGAGGAATGCCATTTTGACCTACAAGTAATACAAGTTTAATTGTTGAAAAAAAGAAAAAAACCGATGAGAATGCAACAATCATTAGGTTGTGTTAAAATTGCATTATTACAAACAATTTAGGTCTTTGAGTTTCATCGAAAAATCTAAAAAAATTAACTTTGCACTTAAAATTGTCCAAAGGAACAACCTCTTTGTGGATGGAGTCACACTATTCTTGATTTCCAGAGACAAATTAGTTACTAAGCTTGAATTGAGAATAGACCTGCTTTACAGAAGTCAATTATGTTATAGCTATGTTAAAGTACAACTAAATGTACAGTATGTCTTAGTATGTATAATTATGTGTGGGTTTTGGAGGTCTAAAAGAATCCACAACAGAGGAAGCTTAAGTGCATCATTGCAGTCACTAAATATGAAAGTCCAATTCTTAGATTGTCAGAAGATGATCACCCTAATTTTTAATGCACCTGAAAGCAATTTGACTTTCTCTTCCAATAGGCAAACCAAGCCCCAGTATTTTTTTTTTAAATTCCAATCTTCTTGAGACCTTTTCAATTGTCTAGTATTTTAAGATAAAGTGCTCCTCTAATAGATCTGATATTTCTGTGATGGGTGAAATGTTTTGTTAATATTTTTCTAAACACAGCGACGCCGGTAAATCAGTGAAACCTCCAGCTACCAATATTCCTTGTTAATATGTACCACACAGGTCTTGTGCACCCTGATTGGCTATTTTGAATCGAAACTCTGTGTCAAGGGTTTAATTTATAACAACCATCTTTGGTACTTTGACAGAAATAAACCATTTTTTTCTGTTTCTGTGTGGTTTATACTAAAACAATTTTTCACTTTGTGAATAATTGTTATAATAAAAACTCTCAACTCCAAATATTGTATTTGTACTGTTCTGATTGGTCCACTCAACTCTGGTTATCAGCTCATATTCTGAGTCATCTAATGTGGAATTGCAATGTTGCAATATTTGTAGAGCTGAAATCCAAATGTGTCCATTTGCGCTTGTTGGATACAAGACTGGTTATAGCCAACTCATATCCAACATGTGCTCATGGAATGATTTTTGGTTATACTTCATGGCTAAAGTAAATGCTTGATGTTATTTGGCTTTGTCTTAGGTGGTCACCAGCTTCCAAGATGTGTCACTCTCATTAATGTATGATGTTCTTCATGATGCAGACTACAGGAGAATTTGGGATGATAATATGCTAGAGTGTTATGAAATTTGTCAACTGGACAGATATAATGACATAGGTTACTACTCAAGTGAGTCAATCTCTTTTTCTTGTAATGGTATCAGTGAATGCATTTATCAAGACAGCTAAGTCTGTTTTATGTGAAAAGGGGGTTAAGTTTATGGAAAAACTGATGCTATTTTGGTGGGGGAGTATAACAAGATAATTTGGTTTTACAAACTGAGTTGATAAAGTTAATTAGCCATGGTAAAGAGTTTAAAAGCTGACATTTTGAGCATTAGCCTTTGATCCTTTGCTCTGATGAAGGGCTTATGCTCAAAAGGTCAGTTGTTAAACTGTTTACAGTGGCTAATTTACAATAAAATGTCAGTTGGTTATAACCAAATTATCTTGTACTGCATTAGCTATAGACTGAGTTTTCCTGCTTTTTAATTTATGACCCAAATTACAAAAAGATTGAAATGACTGCCAAACACTTCATCCACTGTGCATTGGGAGGTGGGAATTTATACTGTTGCAAGGCTGTGCTCTAGCGGCGCCCAGTCGCCTCAGGTGACTAACATTTGGTCTCGGGCAACTGAAAAAGAAAAGCGGTCGCCCATCCAGGCGCATAGATTTCGGCTTGTGTGAAAATCCGAAACGAAACCAGCAAACGTATAGAAACAGAACAGAATGAAACAAAAAGAAACTCCATCGTGCTCCCCGGCTCCTGTTAGCCTGAAAAGCAAAAGCGCTGAAAGCTCAGTGCAATCAATAGCCTGTGTGATCTGTACATTTAGGTTAAATATTAAGTTAGGTCATGGGTCTTGTTTCGCTTCGGTGGTTTCTCTTCCGGTTTATTAATGTAGTACATGGCCCAGGTTTCTTGTCCATTGAACGACGCGATAAAGCAAGCAACTGATTGTAACTAACATTTTATAATTTTACTTGCTAATTTGATAACATTTGCAGAACTAAAAAATATTCGGCAGGACAACAACAAGAATTGTTCACCCTCAAACTTGTTGCATGTGTTATGTAATATTGTTTCACATGATTTAGAACGAAAAATTTTTTTTTCCTTGCCCGTGAGAAACTGCATGATTTTTGCACTAGCATGTGTTGAAGATCTAATTTTTCTACTGAAGTGGTTGATGCTTATATTTAATTTTTGTGTTTCAACAGTTTCAGTAGTGGAGCGCGTGATTAATAAAACAAAACCGTCCTTTATGCAAATTTGTGTTTATTTAATTAGCTTCGTCCGTGGCATGCAAGATGTTTATCAGCACCATGTTTGGCGACTTGCTCGCAATTGTAATCATTCGATCAAAATTAATTAATTAATTAATTAATTAATCAATTTGGGCGACCAACCTGGAAGGCTGGGCGACCTACTTGTCATGGTTAGGCGCCCAAAGGGCACCCTGAAAATTTTCCTAGAGCACAGCCTTGCTGTTGGAAATTGTCAAGGTGTTTAATTACAGGAAATAGGTGGTTTTAGAAACATTGATATCAAGTACCTGTCACAGTCAATTGCAAAATTCATTCTTCTTTTGTTTATAGTTAAATGCCCATCTCCAATGAAAAACAGAGATTTTGTAACTCAGAGGTCTTGGTATTGGGAAGAAGATCACTTCATTATTTTTAATCACACAGTGCATCACAAGGTGAGAATCAACAGTTCTGTGTGTCTACATTATTTAAATTTACTGGCATAACCCTTAACACCCTAACATCAGTGTGCAAGTTTTCCACACTCTACTCTATACATTTTCCAAGGTACTGGCGGGATATTTGTGTAACAATCAAGAATTTCTTTAGTTGTTGATCGTTTCCTTTATTCTTGGAACCCTAATGTGAGATCCATAGGGGATATAGTAAGGAGAAATTAGATGCTACATGTGGTCACTCTAAGGAGTCAAAGGGTTTTAAATACTTTTCTTGAGTGAATACTGCCCTTGATTTAACACTACAAATGGAAGCTGGAAGAAAAATGAGCAGTAAACACTACTCTCTAAAAGATGCAGTACCTAATCAGAAGAATGATTTCTTGATTTGAACATTATTAGAAAAAAAAAGTACATTGCAACTACGTTAATTACAGCTTCCTTGAAAATTTTTTGCCAAAAATTGAGACTTTGGGACCTCAAACAACTCTGTGTGTGTGCGTGTGTGTGTGGCATGATGTTTACAAATGACTTACCATATAATGGCTGTACCCAGTAAAACTTTGCTTGCAGTGTGATAATATTTAATACTATAATGTTTTTTTAATCCTAGGATGTACCTTCAAAGAAAGGCTTAATCCGTGGTAATTCAATTCTTAGTGGATATTATGTACGTAGAATAGGAGATGGTTGTTCTCTTACATACGTCTCGCAAGTGGATCTGAAAGGTAATTTTTCACAGTTTGTTGCTCTGTTCCCTTTTTTTACTTTAATTTTTTTTTTTAATGGTAAAACTGTTATGTGAACATTTGATTAAAAATGAATAGAAATTAAAGTGTGACAGAGTACTGTTATAGCAATTTTAGTTTTGAGTTACAAGGGCAAAGGAAGGATTTATACTGACAATTACTATAAATATCCTAGAGTTACAACTCCTGGCACAGGCAACATACATTGTAATAGTGATAACTATGAAGTGCACAGGGGTCTTCTTTTAGGAAAATTTTTAGTACAGTGATAACAACTCATTAATCACGAAATGATTAATTTCCTTTCTATGAACAGGGATCTTACCCAAGTGGATAGTTAACAGGGCATCAACAAAGATTGCTCCAAAGGTTATTATCATTTTTTGTTGTTGTGGTTGTTGTTGTTGTTGTTTTTTTCTTTTTGATGGAAAGCAGTTGATGTTTACAGCATAGTCCCAGATGACTGCATGCTGTCTATAAATTCATTTTCTACTTTGAAAGAAACTAGCTCTTCTACATAATGTCTGTGAGCCACCTTTTTTAATGAAAAATACTTTTGGTTCATTCAATAAATCTAAACAACAAATAGAATCTTCTCTTTTGATCTACAGAATAAGATATTAATTGATAAGGAGAGACCCTCACAGTGTTATTTTCACAAGATGAATGCATCCTGTACTTGAGGCAAATGACACTGACTGGAACTGTGATATTTCTAATTCTTGAAAAGGGTACAAAAAGTAGAAATCAAAAATACCAGACAATTGTAGAGCAACAAGGGAGAGTCTAAAAAAGTGGAAACTGTCTCTTAAATTCAACTTGAAGCTTGTATGTATGTGAGCCTATAATTGCAAGGGAAATCTAGACAAGTTAAAATGGTCTCTTAAATTCAACTTGCAGCTTGTACCTGGCTCTTATACCTGTATGTGATGTTTTATTTCTTGCCTTTTGATAAAGGTTGTAACCAAGGTTCACAAAGCTGCTCTAGGTTATCAAGCATGGAAATCTATACATGCACCAAGCTACAAACCATGGCTTTGGCCAGAGCAAAGCATTCTCCCTAAGCTCCGTCCAGATGATGTGCAGTCTGTCGGCAGTGAGTCACCAAGTGCATCTGACCAGGAGCAAGAGGTTATAGGTGATGACCCAAATGGCTATGCTTCCAGTGATGATGACAACATAATGCTTTGACAATGGAATTGAAATTCCAAATTCAATTGTCAAATAATATAAGATTACAAAGCCACTGACTTTCATGCAGTGAACATTATTTTTGCTTAGCAGTGTAAATCTTGATGGAAAAAATTTGGAAAAAATCCTATAAAAGAACTTGTATAAAAGTGTAGCTAGAGAATAAAGCTTAGTAATTCAGTACAAAATTTTCCACAATTTGGAAAGCATAGTTTTAATGTAGAGGTTCAGATGATTGTGAATATTCATTGAAGCAAAGGAGTTTTTGCAGGTAGGAAGAACTCTTGCCCTGGCCCCATCAGTAAAGATGTGTAAAATATACAAATATACAAACTAGGGAATTTTTTGTGGTAGGTATTAAGTGGTTCTAACCATGGTGTGTTAGTCTCTTAGTTTATAGCTTCAGTGTATTATTTAGCAGTTTATCAACATTCAAATTCTATGTGTGTTTTCATGCATTTCTTGCAGAGCTGTTCATTTACAATAAATTATTTTCATTGTGCACACTCTACGGTCCAGATTTAATAACTTGCCACCATCTTTTTTTCTTTTTTCAAATTCTAAGTTTAGAATTGTCGTTTTGGGATTTATGAGTCATGCAAAAGTGTGCCCAAGGCACATTAATGTAAATAAGGTTACATGAATGTCCATGTGGTAAATGAACCTACTGATAGTGGTCCCTAAACTTAAAACATAGATCCATGCTGTTCGTTAAGGCTTTATAATTATTGATCTAAAATTTAGACCAACCTGTTACTCTTTCTTATGAAAAGAAATGTTGAACATTATCTTGTACCATTCAACTGCTTTTATTTATATGTAGGACAGTTGCACTTAAACTTTACAATCTCATTGCCAATTCAGTAACAATTTTATAATTATTTATTGGTAAATGTTGTCATAATAGTGGGTTTGAAATATATACCATCAAAATTGGCGCTGTGCTCTTCAATAACATACAAACTTTAAGGTTGGAGATACATTTACGTCATTGCCTTTAACCGTGTTCTGGACACTTTAGGAAATGGGTGCAATGTTTCGAATAGTCCCAAGATCAGAGGATTAAGTTTTAAATTGGTGTTATTCTTTTCTTCTTTAAGATGTTCTTTGTTACTGACAGCTTCGCGAAACTAAATTACAAGTTTGGCTCCGAGTCTCAGAGTTTATAAGAAACATTTTGAAAGGGATGGTACTGTTAACTTGACTTAATATATACTGTGTGTAACTGCACTACCCACCAACATGATCTGTTCCAATTTCTGTTGAGTAATAGTTGTAATGCTAGTATACTGAGGAACCCTTTATCAACATGTAACTTCTCCCCAGAAAATCCAAAGAACATTCCGCAAACAGACAATGAGAGTACTCAAACTTATCAGGTAGTTGTTATCTTGATCTGAAGTCAAATTCTCTTAACTCATTTACAGAGAAACTTTTAGCAGCTAATGGGAGAATTAATAATCAAAGGGTTAATAATCTGTTTCTTCTCAAGGTAATCCTAGGGGCAAACCTATGGCTCTACCAAATTTAACCTTTTCTTTTTCAATTTCTGCGAGATACCTAAGGTTGAATTTGTCCGTCTGAAGAGTGGAGCTGTTGAGCTTTAAGTTATTGTAGAGAGAGACAATTCTTCAGTGTAAAGGGCTATGTCATCGTAGTTTTGGTCATTCTACATATTTGTTAGATGTGTTTGGTTCTGAAAGTCAATGTTCTATCTCCTCTAGCACTGACAAGTAATCTTGTCTTTCGAGCTGTATGGAAAGTGTTTTCTACCAAGACAACTTGGGGAATATACACAATATTTTCAGGCATAGCCCCATGCCACTTTTTCTTCGTTGTTAATATGTACTTATTCCTTGTTCCTGTTAGCTAGTCAGTTTAAAATTGCATGAGAGGTGCCTTGACCCTTCAGCTTTATACAGTCAAAAACATGTAACACCGCCTTAAAGTATAAGTACATTAGCTCACATGTGACGAAAAATAAACAATTTGATTGGTTTCAGACTGTTTCTTGACACAACATCCACTCCTTCAATCTTCCTTATTCTTCAAGCTAAGTTTATCAGTTGGAGGGGAAAAGAACTATTTAGATCTAGGGATCTAGGATTAACAAAATACTTTTTTACACATTACCAGGATTTATGGAAAATATTTTCTTATTTGGTTCTTAGCCCACAGTTAATGTGCACCTCAGTGCTCCTGTTTGTACAGATGATTGTTACACTCTCCTTGGAATGGCTTGGCATAGCTTTATTTTTGTTTTTTTGAATAACTGTACTTTTACCTCCCTTTACACTCTAATTTTTGAATTAGGAGGTGTGAGTGTTTTAGCATCATGCCCAGTTTGTAATTTTGTCGCCTTCGTTTGATAAAAATTCTGTTGCGACATAGCGGCACTTGTAAGAACATTAATGGAGCACAAATGTTCCAACTCCTGCAATTGCGGTAGTTTGAATTTGACGTGAACTGGCTCACATTGTCATCTGATACTCTTAGTCGTTATCACTTTGTGTATTATTCTGAAGAATACTGTTTATAGTTAGCTAATTTGAGAGTTTCATAAGCCATTATCGTGATCTAGTGGTTGGTCAATGAGATGGAGCTAAGTATCACAGCCAAAGCTCTTTTGCAAGTACGTCACAAATGTACACGAAGGCATATCTTATCTCTTGCTGAACTAGTTGTTCAGATGGGAGTGTAGCCGGCAGAACAGGCGTATTTCTTTCTGTGTTTTTAGTCGAACGGAGGCGTGGGAAGGAGCTCATCCCTTCGCGCTCGCTCAGCGCTTGTAAGACGCAAAAAAATTACGCCGGTTTTACAGGCTAATGGGAGTAAAGAGAGTTCACCGTGTTATCAGACACTGTGGGAGCCTGGCCTCTCTCCACCCAGCATTGTACATGGGTATCAGTAAACTCCAATGACTACACGGGAAACCAGGTGAGTTACCAGAGATAAATTGCCGTGGATTAACTTAACGGCACATTTACGGGAGAGGCAATGTTCCTTGTCGTTTCGTGAGTTTAAGGAACTTGAAATTAGTCGTTGTTTTCCAGGTCACTGAGCTTGAGTGCAGAATTCAGTGTTATTATTAGATTATTAGGTGGAGGTTATAGAAACAATGTGTAATGAATACCGTGTTTTTTTAATTTGTTTCTTTCTTCCTTTATTTTTTTAGCTTATTTTCTTGAATATATTAGCTTTACAGCTACACTGAATTTCGAACTTAAATAAAGTATATATATATATGTATGTATGTGTACCGTAACGCCTCTTTTCAGGTGAAATATGGAAACCTTGCATCTTACCCTCAAGGTAGTTGGTTTTACATCATTTGATCGATGTATATTAATTCTGTCCTAAACTTCAACCTGTTTCGTAACGACGAGTAAAAATAGATCAAAAGATCATCCAAATAAAGGTACTTGGATCTTGGAAGCTCGTCGCTGGAGGAAGATCATCATACCAAGAAACCCTGACTAGAATTAGTAACAACAGTTACGCTTTCGAAGTGTTCTTTAACTTACTCACTAATTAATGACGAAGATTAAGTGCGAGGCTGTCGCTTGGTTACTACAGTTGTTGTATTTTTGTAATCGCTCATTCAATTTAGATTTAATTTAAAATATGCTATCGCTGATTAAGACATTCATCGCTATGAAATGCTGGTCTTCGCAACAAGAAATGTTTGAAAACTCAGAAGGGATATTACAGTGAGTCTGGAAAAGTGTCCTAAACTATGTTTCAAACTATACCAGAGAAATTATCACGAAGTGCTGGTGCAGTGAATCGTCCACGTGCTTACCACACTCCGAACAGGAATTTTAATCAGCAAGTTATTTTCCTTCATAGTTTCGAATACCATTCCAATGAAGTCACGCGATCAAAATGATTACTGACCATCACTCTATCCTCGAGTCGTGTAGCTTTAAGACGCAGTTTTCACAGAAAATGTAAAAGTATAAGAAAAAGTCCAACAAAATTTGATGCCGATTCCTTCAAATTTTTTATTCCTTCAAAATAGGCCGTGAACCAGTTAAGCGCACACTTGCGTCATTTAATTTGAATTTTGACACAGATGCAGCCAAAGCTCAAAGGTCCTTTTTGAACCATGGTGATCACATGATTGGTGCCTTCTTCATCGATTTCTCGGAAACTGCTCTTTATTCTTGCGGCTGGATGTGTGATGTGCTGCACGCACGCAACATTTCTAGATGATGGCACGATAGAAAAGTTACTCTGAGCTGGTATCAGGAGTCGTGATTGGGAGTCATTAGCAGAACGATCAGGTACCTTATCAATTACCCTCCTGATAACTTAAATGTATGGCGGCAGTGAGAAAAGTGATTAAAAATTTGTAAAATGTTTGTTTTAAGCAATCTGACCAAAACTGTGGCCCCAGACCGCTGCAGAAAACGTGGCCTATAGCTAGTTGTGCGGAAAATAAAGCAGCTAACTTAGTCATGAGGAAAAGGCAGTGACTAAGAATTCGAAAAAGCGTTCAAGATTGAACGGGCCTCGAGCGCACCTCTGTCATACAATTTCTAACCTTTCCAAAAGCCAGTATCGTGAGCTAATCGAGAGTAGACGCCGGGTAAAGTTGTCTGAAGAGTTCAGAATCCAGCCTGGATCCTTTATTGATTATTCCATAGATAGTAACTTACGAATTTCTTCACTCTAAGACCTCGGACATTGCCATTTTCGAATGACTCTTGAAGTTGTTACGGCAGAAATTGAAAAGGATTGAAATCAGAATTAACCCTGATTTTGCTAGCTCTAGTGAAACCTGAAGTACTGGCTTCGGTAGCTTGAGGGGTGCGTAGCGCTATCCACGGGATAACTCGCTGCTCAGTTGATATTTGTTTGCAAACTTAAATAAACCAGCAATTCTATTTACTTGATAGTGATTTATTCACTGGCTTACAATATCACCAGTCAAGCACTAAATAATAAGTTTCTGAAAAAATTTTCGAGTACGCTACCGACTTTGTTTATCACCTCCACTAAGAAATGACGAATATTGGCATGGTCCATAGTTGCAGTGAGGAAAATGGTTCCTCGTTCAGTCTAGGTAGCCGTTATACTCGTACACGCACAAATATTGCTTCCCGTATGTGACTGAGGCCTTTGATATCGTGTTTATGTTACCCATTTTGGCTAACAACCAAATGGCGGAGACTCTCACAGACTTGAAAGTGCAAAGGGTAGGCCTTTCATCGTTATTCTACAATTGAGTAGTTTGGGGAGCACAGAGATTCATCAGTTGTTATTTCAGGGCACCACGTTGTTGATCGCATACGGTGAAAACCAAACGAGAAATTGGAATACTCTTGACGTTAAAAGGTCTTCTCGGCCTAGTAGTTTAGTTTCGACAATTTCCAAAAATGATTCAGAGATGACTAGGTGGGAACTCTAACGACATAAGAAAAAAACTACTTAAAAAAATAAATGAGGGAAGAAAAATCACCTTTGCTTAATAATTCGAGTGTTACAGTCGCCTAAGTGAGGCCTACCCTTGTTTCAAATAATGCAGATGCTTTAAATATATTCGAATGAAAATTTCTTTGCAAAGAAAACTCTTGATAAATTCTTTCAGCAAAACTTACTCTGTAAATGACCATCACAGACTGTTGTATTTTGCCCTTTCCAAATTCTATTCAGTGCAGGAAATCGTCCGTGACTATAATTAGCTGTATTCTATCAAGGAACGAAGCCGTTAGGGTTCCTCAGTGCAATTGGCGAAAGATCATTCACGTTTCAAAATTTTGAAAGGTAGCTAGTATGCTTTTCCGTGTGAGGGGTAATTCACATGCTTTATTCAGCAGCAATAAAATTCTGATGAGAAAAATTTACAAAATTAACGCATAAATTGAGAAGACAGATGGATTCAGTTTTCAAATGCCAATAAACTCAATATTGTAATGTAGGAGAGCAAACTTTGCTTGAACTGGTATAACCGTACTGAACACACGAAGAGGAAATAGCTCAGTTATTTCATATCTGGTATTTCACTATGTGTTTTTCCCAACTATGCTCTTGCTTCACTTATATATATATATATATATTAATATATAGCTATTTTATCCTCCAAGAATTTGTCATCCATGGCTTCTGCGACACCCTCGTTTCCCTCCAAGAGAGAGACGACCAATTATGCCCGGTTATGCCGGCTTTTGGTGGATGTGGGTACACTTATCGTGAGAGAGACTTTTGACAGGAAGCATCCAGCAGAAAACTTGTGCACAGTTTTGTCAAGCAATAAAATTAATTCTGTCTTAAAATCACTTCGAGAAAGACGTATCTTAAATCCCCATCAGTGGGGTAAGATATATCCTGCTATCAAGTCTTCAGTTTCATCAAGAGATTTTGACATCACTCTGCTTATGGTTCTTTTGAGGAACATCTGTGGTCTCACTCCTCTGGCTACCGGCTGGGACGCACTTCCTCCAGCTTCAGATACAACCCTTCAGGCAGATCTTGCTCGAATTAAGTACTACCGAAACACAGTTTACGCCCATGCCGTCAAAGCCTCAGTTGATGACGCAGAATTCAATCGACACTGGAAGGACATTCAAAAAGTATTGGTAAGACTGGGAGGAGTCGGCTACCAAGATGCTATCGACAATCTGAAAAAGGAAAGGATGGACCCAGAACTTGAGGAACACTACAAAGATCTTCTTAAACAGTGGGTAATGGATGAAGTTAGCATCAAGGAACGACTGGATGAAATCGAAGAAAAGATGATTAAGAATTTCGAAGACTTAAAAGTGAGTATGGATAGTCATGAAAAGAGGATTGGAATTGGACGAAGAGGTAATTATGAAAAATGTTTTTTTAAATACATGTGAGAAAATCAAGTATTATTGAACCACAGCTCATACTTTTCAAGGTTTTCTTCAGCCAATCTGTTTTTGTGTGTATAATTTTCAGTGGCTTCTGTCCACTCGTTCATTGGAGCTACAATTTCATGATTGAAAAGTAAAAACACATTCAAGGAAAGATTGGTAATTTTCAATGGTTCCATGTCATTCTCTTATTCAAAACTTCTTTCAGAAGTTAAGCTTCAGCCCAGATCTCAAAAAGTTTCAAACTTTGTAATATTTTAGAGAAAAATGAAGGCTGCGAAGCAATGAGTAGCCGGCTTCGAACACTCGAACAAAGGTCTTTTTTAGTTTCTGTGAGGTATGAAGAAGTAAAACCCGCATGAGCTCATTGAATCAATATAACATGGTATATAGCTAACGAAATACATGGCGCAGAAATCACCGTAAACTGACAAACTGACATTGTCAGATGTCCTACAAAAATTCTGCTTTATCATGATGTCATACGAAAAGCTTCCGTTTTGATATGTTCTAAGGATAATGAGTCGTTTGCAGTGTTAGATTAGCTGTTGAAAAACGTTTTAACTACGTCTAGCAACAGCATCAATAGCTTGATTAAGAATTTTACAACGTGGCATGACATGATATAGGATAAGAAAACCTAAACGATTTACCATAAACCAGTGTTTAGTGCAGTTACTCTACCCTTGACTAGCTTATCCTAGTTTTAATTACGATTCTTTCCTTAGTTTTAAATAAAATGAAGAAAAAGGAAGACGTCGTCATTCTCATATTGGGTGAGACCGGAGTCGGAAAGTCAACCTGGATCAATGGGATTGCCAACTATCTGAAGTATGACTCTCTGCTGGATGCCATCGATGCTAGGGAATTCACTGTCTTAGTTCCCTTCAGGTAAAACCCGTTTGTTAGAAAATAATACTTGTCTTTTTGCAAATATTATTCAAAATATTTGGTAACACTATGTATCTATACAAAATAATTTATGTATATCTCACCTAAACTGCTAACAACTATCTACACTATATATATATATGTGGCTGATAAGATATCCGGACAATCAATTGTGGATGAAACCACAAAATGTGCGCAAAAATAAAGTCAACTACTAGTTTTACATTGAATGCAGTTATGTACATTTCCTAAGATAGATACAGCTATGCTCACAGTCTAAAGTTAATACAGCTATCAACACTGTTTACAGTAGATGCAGCTATCCACGTCCACGTTAGAAACAAGTATCTACACATTTTATATAATAGATATAACCATCTGCACAGTGCTCAGTAAATACAACTGTTTACCGTGTCCTCATTAGATACAGCTTTCTGCACTGCGTAAAGTAGATAAGACCATCTACGTTGACTAACGCAGATATAACTAATGTATCCACTAGAATTTGCATTTATGTTTATCGTCAAGTAACCGCGAAGTTATTTATAATTTTTTTTTCAATTGAATCACTTTTGTATGTTTTGTTTCTATTCAATTAAGTTCGCGTTTTCGGGTGAGGTGGTGTAAGTATTACGTAACGCAGGTAGCGTTTTATTTCTCGCCAGTATAAGTGTTGTTTTCGTTAGATAATTCTCATTGTTAGTTGATGTCAACTAAGTCAGTCATTTCGTTAGTTTTCGCTTGCGCCGTGTTACTTTTGTTTAAGAGATTTACTTCCGGATCTGGGTACGCCAGAAATTGTAAGTTCGTTCCTATTTCATGTAGCTTGTTGTTGTTATATTTTTACTTAGATTATTCATTCAGTTTTCAGTCGAATCACTTTTACACATCTACACATCTTTACATCCAAATATCTGTCTATCTGAGAGTTAGATTAAATGTCCATTCATGTTGGGACGTAAAATTTGACATGCAATATGTAGCTACAACTAGCTACATTTTCTCCACGTTTTGCTACTTTGCCTTCAAAGCTATGTGCTTATAATGATTATCATTACAATCTGAGTAATCGATTGCATTTGTTTGGAAGTGTTATTGAGGACTGTGCGAATGTCTCCAGTGTTCTATCACAACTTCCAAACCACACTGACTTATAATTTGGATCAGAGCTACCAGAATTTTCTCCTTGCATTGCTTAATTTTGCTCATTCTTTCTTCTTTTTTTTCCGCGCTGTCTTAATTGCTCATTGCGAGTGAAACCTGTATGGGGTAAACACCGGTTAATCCGTAGGAAGGTGCTTACTGTAAGTATTATTACTTACACTGATCGCCTTCCCTTTGCTCTTGGTTGTGTGACCTCCAGGCTGGTACGTACGTCGAAAGCAGTGCTCTCTCGAGAGAAGAACTTTGAAGATGGTATGCTATGCTAAAGTAGCTAGTGTCAATTATGAAATTATAATTACAAAAAATTTAATATTTACTTCAGGTTTACCTTTACCGATGAAAAGGGGAAAGGAATAGATGTTTCCTTTGGTTCGGATGAAAATGAAGTCTTTGCTACTGGCCAGTCTGCTACCCAGACGGCTCGGGAGTATATGTTTGAGACAGACACCAGAAGGTACCACCTTATCGACACTCCAGGAATCGGAGATTGTAGAGGTATTGGTAAGGACAAAGAAAACTTTGAGAACATCCTGGAATTTCTTACTCTCTACAACAAGATTAATGCCGTGGTTGTGCTTCTCAAACCAAACAATCCCAGGTTGACTGTGGCCTTCAGATTCTGTGTGGTAGAACTACTTACACATCTTCACAAGTCGCTTGTCTCCAACATAATCTTTGCCTTCACGAACTCCAGGGGTACCTTTTACAAGCCAGGAGACAGCCTTCCAGTTCTCAAGGAACTCTTACAGGAATACAACCTAGAAATCGATGTCTCACCGTCAAACTATTTTTGTTTCGACAACGAAGCTTTCAGGTAATTGTTGCTTCTGTAGAAACAAAGTACCCGGTGCCCAAATTGTAAAAAGGGTTCACTTGTAACACCTTCAGTTAGGCCTAGTTCAAACGTCGATCTTTACATGTACCGAACCTAATTGCAATTTGGGTCGACTCGAATAATTAAGAGCGGCAGTTGATTCAAACGTCGATCCGAATTTAGTCGATCCTAATTGCAAAACTGAACATAACTCCATTGTAGTCAGCGGTTAATGCCTACCAAAATGGCGGAAAAAAATGCGGGAAGCACAACTTGTGGAAATGAAGAGCTTGTTTTTCTTGCAAATGCGATTAAGGAGGGTAGAAAAAGGCGACTCAAGATGCAGTTAGCATTAAACAACCTTGCTGCCAGGAGAAGACAAGTTTTGGAAGCTTTAGGTTTAGGTTTAGCTTTATAAAAAATTTAAAAAATTTTCCTTCTACGGACTCGAACTCGTTACAAAAAATACTTTTAATGGCTTATATTATAGACAATACAAGCTATTCATTTAATATTATGAAGCCATACAAAAGAGGAGCACGAGCCTTCCTCCTTTCCCGCCATATTGTTTGAATGGTTCGAAGGCTTTCGCGCATGGCACGTAAGCGAACTTTCTGGAATTGTGGGTAAAACATAATTATTTTAACGTATGTATAATGTATGCATTAAGTTCGGTACATGTAAAGTACGACGTATGAATCAATGCCGATCTTTTACCGTTCTATCCGACTAGCCGAGTCGGATAGAACGGCACTGTCGATCCGAATACAAATCTGCCGATCCTAATTGATTCAAACGTCGATCTTTACATGTACTTAATAGAAACGTTAGGTTCGGTACATGTAAAGATCGACGTTTGAACTAGGCCTAGTCTCAAAGGAGAAAGATTCATAAAAGATTTCATCTGGGACATCAAAACCCATTACAAGCCGACCGAGACCTTCTAATTTACGCACTTCGCCTCGTGCCACCCGCCAGGCATAAAATATGGTTTCATAAAAGGCGAAGCAAAAAGATTGCTTAGAACTAACTCTTCGAAAGAAACAATTTAAGGGGGCCTTATGAAATTTAAAGAACGCCTCAAAGCAAAAGGGCACCCAGAAAACATCACAGAAAGGTCTCTGTCAGGGGTCAACTTTGCCTCTAGACAATCGCCTCTTACACATACTCAAAAGGCAAAAGGTCACGAACGTCTATTGCCTTCTGTTACAACGTACCACCCGGCAGTTAAAAATTTAAAACAAATACTGATGGAGCATTGAAGTCTGATACACAATTAGCCCTTGCTGAAAACAATTTTTAAAAAACCTCCCATCATCTCTGACAAAAAGCAAAAATCCACGACACGCTTGTGAGAGCAAAAATATAATTTGAAGGCAAAAATGCGACGCGACCACAAAAACCACGTGGGGAATCCGTGTGGGTCTGTCTTTAGCTTTATTCTCACTTCAATGTCCCCTATCAGATTTCAAGAAAGTAAGCGAGATTTGATTGCTTCATCTTTGCTTAAAAAGCGGGGGACTGGTTCAGGTTAGAATCAATAACAAATCGATACTAGCACTAACAACTGAGTCATATTTTGGCACTAACGATTGAGTTTTATCAGTAGCGATTGATATTTTAGCACCAACGACTGAGTTTTATCGCTTGCGATTGATACTTTAGCACTAACGATTAAGTTTTATCAATTGCGATTGATATTTTTGGCACAGATAATACCGATGACGTTAAAATGTGGTAAAAGCAAAATAAGGGTACGAGGGGCGCAGCCGAGTGTTTCACTGATGTATACGTATTACTGTTCAGGCCTACCGCAACATAGAATATTTTATATCCTGATAACAAAGCATAATTTTATTAATGGTGACGTCATCGATGCGTCAAGATTTCAATAAACCATAAGTAAGAATTAAAATCCCTGTTTAATTTAGGTTATTATATAAATATGTATATTTTTTGTTGTCTCTCACAGATTTCTTGCCTGCAACAAGAAAGGAATCAAGTTTACACCGAAAGAGGTTAACCTGTACTCAGAAAGCTGGGACTTGTCTTGCGAAACTACCAGCAAACTTTTCCAGCGAGTGATGGAAATGAAACCACACGACACAAAGAAGACTCTAAGTCTGAATGAGGCGAGGAACTACATCATTGCCTTAAGCAAACCCATGGGGGAAGCTTTTGAACTTATAACCATGAACTTAAAGCGGATTGACGATGAAACAGAGAAGTGCAAGATTTTTGACAGTGACATCAGCACTTTCCGAGCGCATCTTAAGTTCAAAGGGTTTGATCTGATTGTTGAGCCTCTAGACTACCCCATGACTGTTTGTGCTGGTGATGAATGCAAGACCTATGCAAAAGTTGGTGAGGAAAATGTGACGCGCACAGTTTATGACCAGATCTGCCATGATCATTGCTACCTTCCAGGAGTATCCGTTGAGACCATAAACAACGACAAGCTTTACAAGTGTCGCGCAATGCACAATGGTCACTGTACAAAATGTCGTCACAGCTACAGTGAGCATATGCATATTACCTACAAAACTACTCTCGTAGAGACGGAATTCCTATCTAAAAAAGCACAGAGTTTAATCATGATGAAAGAAGACATGAAGTCTCAGAAGGAAGCGTTCATCGATACGCTGAAGATGCGGAGTAAAGAATATAAACGAGAAAAGGATTTCATTTACGAATGTGCATCCTTTTTCGGTATATTTCTCAAAAAGAACGCCATGATCCCTTACAACGACTCCTTTGGTGATTACGTCGACATGCTGATCAAGGATGAGGAGGCTAAGAAAGAGGAGATCAGAGACAAAGGGAAGATAGAAAAGTTGAAGGAAGAGAAACAACAATACGAGATGAAAAAAAAACTCATCAAAACAACGATTTCTTCAAGCTCAGAGGGAAAGTTTAAAACTTCGCCTGTAGAGGAGATCTATAAAAGGAAAAAAAAGCTTTGCTCTTTGAAGCACAATGGAAGGATATTAAGAGAAGCTTTTGGTAAGTTACCCAGCTTAGATATTTTGGGAGATTCCCGAACCCAAACCAGAAGTAGTATACCCTGAGCGACATGGGGACTGGGAAGCTTATTTACCTCCTGGTTTGATGCGGTGATCCTTAAGACCCTCTCCAAATTACGAGGCGTATACGTTTACGACGCTTTTTTTTTTTTTAAATGTACATGACATATACACCTGCTAATCATAATTACAAGGTACATGATGATACGTTTTTCTTTCGTTTTAGATGGCGTGATGTCCGCGAGACAAAGAATATTCGAAGAAAATAGGTAAAACAAAACTAATGTATCACTCTCCCTCTTTTGTATGTGTCAAACAGTTTTATGATTAATCAACACCATGACAAAATTCACAAATGTGATTGGTCATCACCAGCCCCATTTGAGCACTTGTAGGACAGTAAATACGTCAATGCTTGTAAATGGACTGCATGCGTCATGTGCGCGCGCTGTTTCCGCGCATTACGCCGCATTTTGATTACCATTACGTATTGTCTGATAATGACCAATTAACATTTTGTGTTACATCATGAATTAACTTTTAATCTGAAAATGATCGAAACATGTAGTGGATTCAAAATTGTGCTGCCCTTTCATTGAATGATGAACATCGACACTAGTGTGATTATATCACTGCTGGAATCTATCCTAAATTACAAATAGAGACAGAAAGAGTAACACAAACTTCTAACATTAGTTTGAAAAAACCCGAGCACCATGTTTTCCTTTGGTTCAAAACAACTTACAGGTACAGATAAGCACTACTACATACACTGCTCTTTGGGATGATGGGGGGGGGGGGGGGAGGGGAGGGGAAGGGGAAGGACATGACCTCAACTGAGCTGACTTAAACTTCGCTTAGCCCATGAGTATTGAAGAAATGTCCGAGTCTTTGATTTAGCCTAGTAACATTGTATTCTGTGATCAACTGCTTTGCGGAACAAAAGCCACTTTGTTAATTTCTTTCAATGCTTTTCATGAAGGCATTAGCTCCTTTAATGTGGACCAAATGTTTTTTCAATATTTAGGAGGGGCCTCTTGCAGATCAATGGCAGTGACACTCTCTGGAGCCGCTTCCTCTCCAAAGTCAAGCCTCTCAAATAGAGTCCTTGGGTAACAACTACATCATTTCTGCTGGACCTGTGCAAGTTTTCTTGACTTGGGAAATAATTCAATTCTATGTCAGTGGTTGATATGGTGTGCCTCAGCTATACAAGGCCTTTCTAAAGAAATTATGAAAATAGTGGCACTTTTTGGGTTTGCTTAGAGATTAAGTGATCTCATAAATTAGCCAATCAGCTCGAAGAAATCCATCTTTGACACTGAAACTGACGTGGATGAAATTTTTTTTAGTTTTTTTTTTAGCTTTTGCTTGGGCAAATTTGTTACCACTTTATTTGATTGGGATTTTAATGGTAGTATTGAACCCTTTGGGCAAGAAAACGAAATGATCTTTTTGCCGTTAGTGGAGATTTCTTTTGCTGCTCTCTTTAACGCTGTTTTTTTTCTCCTTGTCAATTTATAGTGTGAGATTGCACTGAAGAACTTTGTTGCTGAACCTCCTCATCAACATGCTTTGTACTACACGTCATTTTTGTTAGAAGAACTAGCGTGGCATAAAGATGACCTGTTAGAAGCATTAGAGGGTATTTTTAGTACTTTTTATTTCCTCTCATGCACAGAGTGAGAATGAACTTATTGAGAGCAGTTCCATCTTGCTTGAAGTTCATCAAAACGAAACCATAGTAATTGCATTTTATTTTAACCAAACGTTATGGTTCATTAAACAAGTTTAATACATATTTTCTGGAGAGTTTAGATTCTAGCCTCTTTTTTCGAAAATGGCTTTTAAACTTCTTTGTGAGGGAAAAGCACTCTCTAAAAGTAGAGACCTAAGGCCCTGAGGCTAAGGGTATAGCACCAACCAGCTTCCTGAGCTTTGTTCTTCTTATTGAAGCCCTAACTGGAGTTATGAATTTCCAGGGTTTCTAGACCTGAGACATGTAGTTGGGGTAGAAGCTAGGTGTTTCAGGGGATGGCCTTTGCAGATTAATCATTTTCTGAACTGTTGTCCTGCTTCATCAAATGCCCTAAACCCGACATTTTTCTTTGAATAAAAATCCTGCAAATTTTAAAAAGCAGAAATCAAGACGAAATATAAATACAACTTTATGACTTGCTTACTCTAAAGTAAGGTAACACCATATGGTATAACTTTTTGCACAGCAGTATTATTGTTCATTGCCACTTTTCCACTGCTTTTATTTTGGAGTTTTTGGGTGGAACGAGGGAGGGAAGGTTTAGCCCCCTTACAACTTAAAGCTCAAGCCCCTATCAGCTCTGAGACGAGGGCCCATCTTAAAGCTCATCAGGGAAAGGTGGTAATTAAGTGCTGAATAAACATTAATGAATGATATTATTTCAGTGCTGTTTTCCTGTGTTGAAATGAACTTTCACCTCATTTAAGTTCTCATATTTTAAGTTTGTAGGTGGCCTGTAGTCAAGAAGTGCTAGCTGATATCTCACATAATTTTTCATTTATTTTTGACAAATTAAATGTTTTTGTTTAAACTACCACAATTTACTTACAGCATTTAGCAGTACTGACAATTTGAACATTATAATCCATAGATTACATTATTGACTGACAACTTGCATTATTAGTTACGCTGAGAGATGGTATCACCTAATTAATATCAATTATTATTGTCTTTTTTATTTTTTGTTGATATTTTTCCTGCAGTGCACAATGATTACCTGATTGTCTGTACTTTTTGTATTCATCAATTCATTTATCACATTTTCTCCTTATGTTATCTGTCTGTCTGTCTTTTCTTTTATAGTTAAAGGGGTCCTCATAGTATTACTCTGCTTTCATAATTTCCTAAGGATTAATATTTAAGAGAACCCCATTTGAGACACTGCCTTGTGAAAGAGTTGATCAGAAAATATTTTCATATTTTAAGGTACTAGCTCAAAATGGATTCATTATTTTGAAGCATTGATTATTTGTTGAATTGTAGCTTCCATTACTATTTTTGTTGATTGTTTCCTTGAAATTAGTAAATAATTTATCTAGTCTTGACTACCCTTTCTGAAAGAGGTGTGATAATTGTTCTAGCAAAAGAGATTTCCTCTGCAGCCTCTCCAAACACCCCCAGTGTTGCTTTATCAGTTAGTAACTCAAAATTGAAATCTAGCCTATGTGTTTGTGCAGTGTTTTAAGAAAATCTGTAATTGTAGTTCAGAGGTAAAATTTTCTTCTAATGTGCTAAAAGATGAGTATTAATTGTTATTAAATTTTCAACTCCACATATTGCATTTCTAGCGTTCTGATTGGTCTGGTTAGCAGCTTTTGTTCAAAGTCACCTTATATGGAAATGTATTGTACCAACTGTTGCTGAGCTGAAAAAAAAGCTCCAAATATCCAAACCTTCAGAGTTTAACCAAATTTAACAAAACAATTACATTATTTGCACCTGTTGGATGGGAGATTGATTACCATATCCAACATTTGCTCAATTGAAATAACTATTAACCCTTTAACTCCCAGATCTGATAATCAATTCTCCCTCCAGTTACTACACATTTCCTTTAAAATTAGTTGCAAGAATTTGGTGTAAGATTAAGAAAACATTTTCTATTTGATATGTTTTAGTATTCTCATTACCTGTTTGCTGGATAATGTATGGATATTGAAAGGAGAAGTTACATGTTAATCACTTCTGGGAGTTAAAAGGTTAAATATACTGAGCTGATAAGTTTTCTGATTAAAAAATAGGGGTGCACTACCCTTTAACTCTCAGATCTGATGGTCAATTCTCCCTCCAGTTACTACATATTTCCTTTGAAATTAGTTGCAAAAATGTGGTGTAAGGTCAAGACAACAAATTTTATTTGATATGTTTGAGTATTCTCTTTACCTGTTTGCTGAATATTGTATGGACATTGCAAGGAGAAGTTACATGTTAATCACTTCTGGGGGTTAAAAGGTTAAATAGACTGAGCTGATAAGTTTTCTAATTAAAAAATAGGGGTGCACTACTTTAACTCCCAGTTCTGATGGTCAATTCTCCCCTCCAGTTACTTCATATTTCCTTTGAAATTAGTTGCAAGAATGTGGTGTAAGATCAAGACAACAACTTCTATTTGATATGTTTGAGCATTCTTATTACCTGTTTGCTGGATAATGTACAGATATTGCAGTGAGAAGTTAAGTGTTAGTCACTTCAGAGAGTCAAAGGTGAAACATACTAAGCTGATAAGTTTCTGATTAAAAAATAGGGGTGCACTAAGCTTCTCTCTGGGTTACAGACACATAAGACTAAAAAAGAGTTAAAATGTTGCTAAGAGGCTGTATTAAGTGCTGTGGCTAAATCACAATTTGATTATAAAAACATATGGCAAAATATTTGGACATTATGTAGGAATCATCTTCAAGGGTTAGTTACACATAGATTTATGACCACCACTTAAAAAAATGTGCCTAATTGTCTTGCCAACAATAGAGGGTTGAGTGATTTGAAGGAGTTTCCCATCTCTTTAAATCCAATTGTTTGTCACTATTTCTGAAAGCATGAAAACAACTGTTACTACAAAAAATAAAAAAAGGGAAAGATACTGCTTAAATTTTCTGAGTTGAACCTACAAACACTTAGTGTTAATTTTCTTTAATCTCTCTTTCTCTTTAGTATTAAACCCATCATATAGTGGAAAAATCAGCCCTATTAAATATTTTGAGACTCAGATGATTTTCATCATATGTATAATGATAATTAATTAAGAACTGAGTGGAGTCCAATTTGGTCTGTAATCATACAAATGATTAACAAAATTGGATGACAGGGATGCAGGAGTCTGATTTGATAATCACCTGTAGAATTGGATGACAGGAAGTCCTGTTACCAATTAATCACATCTATGACAAAATTTTAGAAAGAAACTTGACAACAGTTATACGTTTTCATAAAAAAAACACCAACAGTTAACTTATTGAAATGTGAGACACCAGCATGAGCACATGATGTGTTGTGTCCACTTACGCAGGCATGATGTGTTTACTGTCCCTTTAACTGTCCTATTACACTGTCCAATTACCAGTACAAGCATGATGCAAACACTTTCCTATTAGTTCTCAAATCGGGCTGGTGGTAACTAATAGAGTTCAAGAATTTTGTTACAGTCTTGGTTTGTCATATAATCATGCATGTGGTACCCTAGAAGGGTGCTTCCTAGAAATTGGCTAATGGGGATGTACTGCAGGATGAGTTTGCTGCATTGATTATAATGGGGTTTAATTTTAATAGAGGTACTAGAATGGGTCACATATTCTTAGGATTGGGGGGGCGGGAAGGTAAGAAAATTCTGGTCAGTAGGGGTTTTTAAGATGGGAAGATTCAAAGTTAAAAAGGTGTTAATTTTGCTCAATAGTGACTAAGATGGGGTCTATGGTTGACCACAGCTTAGACCATGATGGGGTAGGAGTTCTGAGAAGCCAGTGACACATACCAGCAAAAATTGACCCTACTACCCCCTCCTACTCCCACAATGGTAGTACTCATCTGACAAACTGTGACAGCTGTGTATGAATTTCATTTTTTCTCAGCCTCCTTGAGAACTAACACACCTCCATCTGACCTCTTCTTGCTTTCAAAAGCTCTGATTACTATAAAGGAATGAATTCACGGAGCTGTTCGTAACGGACACACCTAAGCCACCCGCGACAAAATCCATACTCTACCCCTCCACTCACGTCTTTCTAAAGTGGCTTGGGGCGTTAAACGTGGAATTAATGAGTTATGGTTATAATAATCTTCTCTTTCGCTATATAGAAAGATGAAGTCTCCATGAAACGTAATCGCTTCCTAGTTTAGAGGGAATTGATCCTTTTAGTTACACGCAGGGTGGGTGAAATAGCTGTTAAATCCTAGTCGGCGGATTACGTAAGTTATCAAGTTTCAAAATTTACAGTTATATGTAAGGTACCATAAGGTGTCCATATGATAAATTTTGGCTTGTTTTGCCTCTTTTGCAACGATTTTAGAATACAACACATAACTTTCATATTGGAGAAGTAACTAGAAAGTTCTAGTCAAGTATATGCGTCTCGTGTATCCATTTATTTCATCGAATTTCTCAGGGATACATTTCAAAGTACTTATTTGAAAGAAAAGCTTAATCGACCTTGCGTTACACAATCACGGTTGGAGGTTGGTATCGATCGTTGATTGCTGTATGGTCCACAAATCTTCTAAGTTCTTCCAAGTAATGGGGAGCTTTCTTTCCGCTGGCATGAAAAACCCTCTTTTTACTGCAGCAGCAATAGACTTTGGTATTCAGTGGATTTGTTGGGTGGTTGCGTCCATTCTTCAAACGGAAAAGTTTTACGATTTGGCCGGTTCCTCCACCTTCGTCTTCCTGACGTTGCTAACCCTAAGATGGCAAAGGAAAGTCAACTTGCGTCAGATTATCCAGTCTGGCTGTGTTACGGTTTGGGGACTTCGACTTGGCTTGTATCTGTTTCACAGGATTCTCCAGGACGGAAAGGATAGCCGTTTCGACAAGGTTCGAGGGAATCCCCGTGTGTTTTTCATCTACTGGACAATTCAAGGTGTTTGGATCTTCCTGACTCTACTACCAACCCTGATCCTGAATGCTTCTGCTAAAGACGAAGAGCTGACATGGAAGGATTACTTAGGATGGGCTTTCTGGCTAATCGGATTCATACTAGAAGCAGGTGCAGATTACCAGAAGTCGCAGTTCAAGGCTAATCCTGCTAACAAAGGCAAGTGGATTGCCTCTGGGCTGTGGAGCATTAGCCGACATCCCAACTATCTTGGCGAGATGCTGATGTGGTCCAGCTTGTTTCTTCCGGCTTCCTCAGTAATGTCTGGTTACCAGTACTTGAGTGCCATCTCCCCTATGTTTGTGGCTTATCTTCTGACTCGAGTCAGTGGCATTCCACTTCTGGAAAGGCAGGGTTTGAAGAAATGGGGGCATCTACCAGCCTACCAAGATTATCGCCGAAGCACTGCAGTTCTGATACCTTACATATGGTAGAATGTAACAGTACACTCGCCCATTCACACTTAGGTTGATGAGGTCTGATTGTAAAACTAGATTTGGAAAGGCCAGATGTCGACATTGCAATTTTTTTTTTACATTTTGTTTCTCCTTTATCAAGATACCCTAATGTTATCTAACCCCGCATGTGATGTAATTTCTTGGTTATATTAAATTTTTTTTTTGAAACATTTTTACACTTTGATTAGTTGGAGAACTCTCCAAATATATGCTACTTAAAAGATGTCCTGCTTTCTAAATATATGATACATTATACTGCAACATGGTTTTACTTATTCATTTGATTATTTAAAAGGCCCAACTACATTTAAGCTCCTACCCTGATGGTAGCAAAAGGTAATTTGCACCCACCTTTGAATGACCTTTTCCTAGAGTGGATTACACCAAAACATGGGTACCCAGGCATTCTGATGTAAAGATATCACCGAACATAGATTATAACTGATTATTGTTGACACTGATCCATTTTGGGAAATTTGCTCTGTTGGAAATTGTTGGGTAAAAATTGAAAATAAGAGAGCTGCTTAAGATAACTGTACCATTTTAATTAAAAAGGATCAATTTCCAATGCCACTTTAGTGAACAAGGTTCTTTGGATGTAATATTACCCAAACCAACACCTATGTCAACCTGCAAAACATACAAAAACTGACACTTCCATTATTTTTGTAACATACATAGCATGAATGCAATGTGCTGCTGCTGCAAGAGACTTCCAAACCATAAAAGGGGCAGAGGGTGTAACTATAGGTATGAACAACCTTTTGATGGGTGGTAAGCCTTAGCATTGTTCTTTCCTATGAATGCATGTGTGACTGACTTAAGGCACACCCTCCTGATGAATGACAACACCATCACCAAAAAAAAAAACTTATTTGATATGCAAATGTTGATGATATTTCAGAATGTTTAATTTTGGTTGCAGTAAGATACATTTAAGATCCATTAAGTTATTAAAACCTCTAACTGCAATTTTGTCAAAATCAATTAATAACAATAGGTAAACAAATTTGAATCTTTAATAATTTGTTCTCAGACATCCATTGATACCTCAATTACATCGCAACACCACAGAGACTAAAGATGACAAAACAAATTTACAGGTATTTTCAAGGAACTTCAAAGGCTCGCTGAAGAAATAAAAATTTCCTGTCCTTTCCTGCAATTGATAATGTTATGGCATCACTCAAAAATATTCCACATTTCACAGTGATCCTGATGTAACAAGCTTCTCCATAGCTTGGAGGACTGAATCCCCGCTCATATTGTTCAGTTGGACAGAGTTTTCCTTTCCATGATCTAAAGGGATTAAAGAAATATCACATTCAGCTGGCCAAATTGTAACCCTTTCACACCCAAGATCTCAGTAATCCTTCATACTGTCTGTTACACAATTATTATGATGTTAATTTAAAAAATTTGGTATTCAAGCAACAAGTAATCCCATAGTTGATGTTTTGGGTCATTCACATCACCAGTCTGCTTGATATTGTATTAATATCATAGGGAAAAATTCTGTCTTGGTAACTCATTGGAGTTATTGGAGTTTAAGGGTTAACTTACACTAAATAGCAACAGTGTTGTTGCCCACACAACACGGACAATGAAAAAGAGACTCGAGGCTTTCTGGGCTTTGATCAGCAACTTCATTTACCAAATCAGTTTGGTTATCACTTGTCACAAGAGATCTGCATATTTTGCAAATGTATCATTTGAGTAAAGAAAGAGTAGAATTTTCTTATCTTAGTTCTTACCATATCTTGCGTACATCTTTGGTTGAATTCCACTACATTCACGAACCAAGATGGGAACTTTTGGGTTCTCTTTCTTGATGCCAATGTAGTATTTCTCCAAGAAGTCCCTGATTAGAAATTCCACAGGTTAATTAAATATTTGCACAAAAAGAAAACAAAAAAATATCAAAAAGACACAAAGGGGTTTGTTAACAAATAATCTATTAAAGTTCCACCTCATAAATTTCTGTCTGAGATAAAGAAATTTGTGAATTCTTCTACTTCTTTTCTATTTGTTATTCAGAGATTTTTTAAAACCGATTGGCACAGGGTATGTCATGTTGCAGTGTGTAAGTACCTTGAGAGTTTAGTGGTCATCAACAGCTTAAAATGTTTTTAAATGATGAGACCAAAACATGATAACGAACAGTCGACATATGATCACCAGTGATTTCAACAAACCCCTCCTTTACAACATCACCTTGCTTGAGTTGATTTCTGGTATCGCTTTAAAATGATTGTTGTATGCTATTTTTTCTGTAAGTATAATATTTGTACTTCTGGCGATCGAGTCCATAAAGAAGAGTTTCATTCGCAGATTAATTACGTAAATAGTGTTATAAATAACTCAAGTACTTCAAAATTTGGAATAATCGTCCTCCATAGTTAGTTACCTTACACCTTGACTACTCTGGGACTTCTGACACAAGTGAATACGGATTTCTCTGACATGTTTACCAAGGTTTGAACGCCAAGCAGCCGCCATTTTGATTCTTGCGGAGACTCGATTCCAGATCTTCACACGGCCTACTGACGAACTCACTCCAACCTCCCCATCCACAATACCCTCAGAAGATGCTTCGGTTGATCACACCACTCTGTCGACACCACATGGTTAGTAAAGGAAAAAACTATAACCACTAATGTCTATCAATAATCAAGACGTAAAGACAAAGTTAGGCCAAGAGTTTATAAACTATTTCTTGATCGCATGAGTGGTTGAGGTCTGCCACGATCAATTCCTGTTGTTCAGGAAATAGGCCTGCGATGTTTCCTTTGTCAAGAACATCCGTGGACAAACTCGGTGGAAATCGAGTCGTCGATCGGTGTTCGTTTACCTAAAAACCTCACGAGAAAAATCTTCTATAAATGGGATAGAGATAAAATCAGACAAGACAGAATGATATACACCAGGATAAACTACACTTAAACAAATAATTTTGATGCTTTGTCAACGCCCTAAATCGCGGGTCATGGCAAACTCTAATCAGATTGGCGATGTGCTGATTCATGAAAGGCCTCCAGATAACAGTGTATTAGTGACAATCAAGAAGGGAAGGTATTTTCCGATGAAATATCTAGTATAAGCTCACTTTTATAGTCTTGATGTACCTTGAGTTGATTGGGTTATTTCTCAAATGTGTGACTGATTTACCGAGAAATTGTTGGAATGCTGAGAGATGGATGTGTTTCGAACGGTATCCACCAAGACTAGACATGATAAGAAATGAAGTCATTTCATTGGTACATGCTATGCTGCTTTGGAATTAAAAACTACCGCCTCCGCCGGCCGACGTTTAAGAATGTATTTAGTTCGTGGGGCGTTATACAAAACGGTGTCCCGACGATCCGGCCACATTTATTTTGTTTGGGAGTCTTGGGCCAAGTTACCACTTGCTCAGGACTTACAATTACCTACATTTTGGCCGCATCCTCTTTGAATAGGATGAGATCGGTTCCATATCTCAAATGAAGTGTAGTTCACTGAACGCCCTCGGTTCATTCCACTTTTTAAGCCCTCTTATGTGGTAAACTTAGAAATGAATAACTCGCTAAATATGGGTTCTTTTCAATATAATAAGCGGTCAGACAACAAGCAATGCACTGTAAAAGTATGAGGAGAGGTATTTTTGTTGTGAATTTGACTTATCTTTTATTCCTGAGAGCGGTAGTAAATATTCCCACACAAACTCTCACAATTTCGCCATGACTTTTTTTGGCAAGATGATCGTCTCACAGCTGGAGCTTGGGCTGCCTGTGAGGATGTGTTGAAGTTGTTTGCTTATTTTAGATGGACGTGGTTTTTTTTCTTTAATTGTGCGCGTCAGAGTACAACTTTTTGTCTTCTTTCAGCAGAAGTTCAAAAAACAAATAACAGCACGAAAGTTCCTTTTCGGTTTCCTTTATTCACCATTATTGCTGAGTGATGACATCTGGGTGTGCTTGAGTCATTGCACCGCCAGAATCTGAAGCATTCAAATCAACATTTATGATATGAAACGACACACCTACAGGAGGAACTACTGACTTTGAACTGATTCACTAATTTCCTTCGCGGAAGGAAATATGAAGTTTGAAACTTTTAATATTCACTCGCGAATTTCTTTGCGCTTGCTAACCGCGATCGATTGCAGACAGCAAGCAGCAGCCCTCTGTCAACAAGATAAGTAATTAGCTAGAAAGGTCAGCCGTTTTAATTTCGTAGCAAACGTGAGGATTAGCATTAAGAAACGCGGTTGACACGGAAACCACCATAGAATTCTGAATAAAAATTTTGTTAATTGGCTCATCTGACACGAAAAGTTAACACCCAATATTTCGCAACAAAGCCGACCATACACAGCGAGTCGAGATGGATCGCGCTGTATAATCTCATATCTACGTGTCTGCCTTGTGACAAAAAAATATCGATGTAATCTGAGTTCAGAGTTCAAAAGAAGCTGACAAATTAGCCAATGTACCAAAATAGCACAGGAAATCCTCTCCTGTATCAACGCCTCAGGAAACTCGGCATTTAAGGCCTCTCATTGGTCAGTTGAAATTATGCTGTTGACAATTATAAACTCGGGTTACGGTGTTATTACTATATAGGAACTTTCTCAACTGCTAATCGTCAAGGAGAGCAAAACATCCTGCAGTCTATTCTGAATCATTGGAAGATGCCATCGCGATATTTTGAAAGAGATGCACACATATTCAAAGATGAATTCGAAATTCAAGAACTTATCGGTGAGGGATCATTCGCCAAGGTTTACAGGTGCCAAGAGAAGCAGAGTGGTAAAACTTTTGCAGTGAAGGAAATACGGCTTGACGAGGGCTTCTCTTTCAGTGAGGCAGTCAGAGAGGAGATGGAGATTTGGAAGGATTTACAACACGAAAATATCGTCTCGTTGCACCAAACCTTCCAGGGAAACTCTTCTGTGCATTTCGTATGTGAAAATGTCGATGGTGGCAATTTGTTTGATGAAATTTTGGGACACAGCATTTACAGTGAACAACAAGCACGCTCTTTCATAAAACAAGTAAGATTTATTTAATCATTATTTAATTTTTCTGTTTTAAATTCATAGAACTTAGCTAATTTTTAATACTTCAGGCGAACATTTGCTTTGAGTGCTAGGTTCAGTTAGTACATAGATGGAACTTTTATTTATTACGGAAAAAACGGAATTTTTAATGGATGTTTTTTCTGCCTTCTGAGAAAGAGAGATTATCTTCTGTGAAGGTTTAATTTGTAAGTGGCCTGTTCCTTACACAGGTTATTAAAACGAACGTAAGTTCCGTCAAAGCTAGTCGATTTATCGCAAATTTTTTCCCACTAAAGGAAATAAGATGCGCTGTGACAAAGCAGCACGGAAGGCAATACACCAATCTGAATGAATTTACGTCACCAGCATATCTTATGACATTCATGACCTCTGTGGTTCAAATTTCTGCCTTAAAAACGAAACCTTATAAGTATATGTTTGTTGATGAAACAAAGTCTCGATATTACATAACTTCTCATACTGAAATTACGTCGGTTTTAAATCGTTTACATGGTGCGTGAGCGAAAAATTTCGCCAGCTAAACAGTTTCGAGCAGTTTCTCTGAACCGGGGTATGGGTAAAAATTGAAGCCAAAGACTAAAAACACTGAACAATGAAGGACGCCTTTTGCTTTCAGTTATAACAAGTTCTGTCAGAACAGCATAAAGTTCACTCATCAATGTCTAATGAAAAGTAAACACAGTTTTTTTTCGATTTTATATATCGATGTCAAAACATTTCAAAAAAGTACTTGTGACAAGACAACGTTCTCAATATTGTCGCAAAATAAGTTTCGCCTCTCAATGAAAGGCGTGGCGTCACAAATAATTTTCGAGCGTATAACGGAACAGCTCCGGCCTTGACAACGCCAAGGATTCAAAACAAAGTATCGAATAGCTGTAGGCGTGGCGTCACAAATAATTTTCGAGCGTATAACGGAACAGCTCCGACGCCAAGGATGTGTAGGCGTGGCGTCACAAATAATTTTCGAGCGTATAACGGAACAGCTCCGGCCTTGACAACGCCAAGGATTCAAAACAAAGTATCGAATAGCTGTAGCCACACGCACAAATGTGACGTAATTCGTTTGTGTATCAAACGAGCTTAATCAAATGGCAGCTGGTGTGATTTTAGTATCCTGCCAAGGGTCTATGTCTAAATTGATTTCTCTTTATTTCGCAGCTTTTAAAAGCCTTGGAGTATCTTCATGCCAAGCGAATTATCCATCGAGACGTCAAGCCCGACAATCTTCTTCTCAGTCGATCCAGAATTTCCGAACAATTGATTGTAAAACTCGCTGACTTTGGCTTGGCTCGAAGACTGCCACGCGACTCTGACGTCATCGGTTGTGAAGCGAGTGGCGCGCCCCTGTTCCTTGCACCAGAGACAATTTTAGAAGAAATGATTGGTCAACCAGTTGACATGTGGGCGTGTGGCGTCATATCATTTATTCTATTGGTGGGCTACCCGCCATTTTGGAGTAGCAGCGACGAAAAATTACTACTATCTATTCTACAAGGTCATTATACTATGCCTTCGCCATATTGGGACAATGTATCAGAAGAAGCTAAGGACTTTGTGCAACGATTAATTGTCGTAAAACCCAGCGAGAGAATGACAGCTTCGGAGGCGCTGAATCATCCATGGTTTCAAATGGACCCGAAAATACCGATAAAACTCGGTCAGCGGAGGAACTTTGCAGCGGTGGTAAGCGGTGTGCGAGCAATGCTGAAATTTAGAAACATCAGCCCCAAACATCCTTGCCTCGAAGGAAATTCGGAAAAGGAGTACTGAGTGAAAATATTTCAATGAATCTCGTTATCAATAGTAGAATAACTTAGGCCAGAATGTGTGCCATCTCACAACTGAACAGAAAATACGTTTGTTGCTAAAACTTGAGAAGCAAACAAACAAACAAACAAACAAAAGAGACAATCTACAAAATCAGGACATTTTTTGTTAGTGGATACGTGTATTTATCTGGTTATACGAAGTCATATCATCATTGCTTGAAACAAAATTTCAGTTTTCTAACAGTAATTTATTACAGCCTTCTTTGATTTTTCTTTTCTATCTCCACCACACTGGTATACTAGCATTTTCACAGTTCTCTTATGTTCTATAAATATAGTCAGTTTGTATTACTTTATTACTTTATGCAGGGGCTTTCCTTGTGTTCCCCTTAGAAGGTCAATCGTCTGATTGTGCGATGCGACTACGGTGGTTGTAAAAATGATATCTGGGAATAAAATCGAACTTTGAAAGAAGCAATTTGAACCATAAGGTAGAAATTAAGAAAACTGTTTACCAAATAAGCAGTAGTAGCTATCTCTGTCCTCTTTTAAAGCACATCGCGTTGCCAGAGGTTCAACTATGTATATCGTAATTTAAAATAGAAATGTTTTGGTATTTCAAATGTAGAAGAGTGGCTCCTTGAAGACCGGAGAGTGACAAAGAAAGTTTTGGTGTCGGTTATCAGCATGACGAATAAACTAGTGAATTTGAACATCTTGTGTGTGTGTGTCAGTGTATTAGAAGTGAATTCGAGACGTTTAAAAAGAAAGAGTACATAAAACGCAGAAGTTAAAAGTTCAAGTGAGGATCCCATGCCAGGATTTTAATTGAGGCTTTCGTCTTTGCTTTTGAATGAAAGCCAAGGGGTCAGTAAAAGTGAGGAACGTGACTTCCTAAGATGTACTAAGATGTACTTCGTGCACTTCCTCTCATATCATTATTACGTGCGTCAGCTCATCAGAACATAATCAGCTTATGACAATCCTAGCAATCTATTTTTCCTTTCTTTAGAGATGAAGAGACAAACAAGCAAACAATTAGGAAATAAAACTGACAAAACAATCCAAAATCTTTGCAGTCATAATGTTATTTGTAAACGAATGGAAAATCAATGTATTTTTCTGTTTGTAATCAACCATAAAAGTATATTCTAAAAGTACATTTTAACATTCAAGAGCAACTATCTTCAAAGCGATGAATGCTAAGTGTCAATGTTTTTCAGTAAATCCACAATGAAGGTATACACGCATTTCACCAGCTCCTTACTGGTCTGGAAAAATTGGTTACTTGTACTGCGTTAATTCTATATGTTGCTTTTTGAATTGAGAATAAAGTTCTCTGCAATTAAAGATATATTTTCGTCGTGTAGTTCAAGGGGTTAAGTATTACCTTAGAATCCCTGATATGTTTAAAAGTCAAAATTATCATACGGCTAAATTGCTTACAATTTTTTCATTTTGTCATACTTTCAAAAGTTATTTAACGAGATTTTAAGTATCTTCGGTAAGTAAGGACTTGTCGTGAGAGAGGTTGTTTAACTAAGTTAAAATTCCCCTTTCCTAAATCGTGGTGACTTTAGCAGCACGGCTGCCAATGTTATGATGATGGTGATGAGGTAGATCCAAGCAAAGAGGCGATTAATAATCATGGCTGCCATCCTCCATTCCTCTCTCATGGTGTCTGCTTCTTCTTTCCTGAAGATGTTGTCTGTCAAAATTGTCATGTTCGTTTGCTCTTTGCCCCTGTTTTCACGTAGCTTTACTGGAACGAAAATAAATAAATAAATTAATTAATTAAGATAAATAGAATAGAATAAACCGTAGGAACTCTAACGCTCTCGCACAATGTGACAGAAAATTGAATTTCGTTGGTAGTTAACACCAGGAAGTAGACATGTATCCTTGTTTGGTAATGTTACTAAATTTAATTCAGGCACGTGTGATTCAGTGGAGAACATGAATGTAATCTGAAATTTCGCAATACTACTTATATTCGTGTTTCCAGTCATGCAATATAAACGTCTGTACATAACAATCTTTTCAAACTGACGCTTCTCCAACATTTGAAGTTGCACTAACTGAAATATTTTCTAAAGAAAGGAAGGAATGAAGGGTTAATTGAAAAGTTACGCTGATGTCTTTTTCATAATAGATTTTCCATTAGATCTCAAATCGTTGTCCGTCTTTTAGACACATTATTGATCCTTTACCCGGTGTTCTAGATGTAATATCATGTTCCTGCATGTTTATTTTTTCAATGAACCGTTGGTGGTGGGGTAGAATTAATTGATGGCCACGACAGGAAACAATAAACATTACAGTCCAACCTTGACGCCACTCCTGGACGATCTGCGCTTGTCGGACACGTCCAGCGGATGTGCTTAAACGCACCAGGCGTGCGCAGTAGTTAAGGACACAGACCTATCGTGAAAAAAAGAGAACCAGGCTATTGAATACCAAAAATAGTCTCTTGTCTTATGGAGATCATAAAACACCAGTCGGGCCAATCTGAACCATTTAACACGTCTGACATATTTTGCAGAAAAAAGTATTCCTTATATAGGCGAATACATAACTAAAGTTGTAAAATGATGTTTAAGTACCCTGATCCAGGCGGGAATTGGGGCCGAGGAATTGTCAGGATGGTAAAAACGAAGCATGAGGCAGGCCATTCCCATCGCCGCTGACACTTCGATGAAAGTGTAGGCATAGTAAACAGCAATTAGTGGGGTGTCTTTGGAGGTGGCAGGAAGCTTTGCCTACCGGAGAAAAAACATAGTCGACTAAACTACCCATCATAACACTTCAAAAAGAACACAAGATCTTTGCAAAAGTAATGCCTCTCGGAAATAAAACAGCTCTAGCCCGTAGCCAGTTTATCTTTTTCGTACGCGCTCAAATGTCTTAGAGGTGAGAAATTTCTCTTTCCGTATATCCCTCACTTATATGCGATAACAAAACGTTGATGCAAAACTTTGTAGGTTTGAAATAGTTTGTTTGAAATGCTTGATATTAGAATTTGATAAAAAGAATACCGTGCCACATGAAAAAATGACACATAAGAAAGGATCCTTCAGTGAGGATTTACGATAATTAGACCTACGTATGTCTCCGATCTGGATCGATGTAGGTTAAGATTTACACTGTATGAAAGGGTCTGTGAGCCTGAGTTGAAAGCATGCTCACCATTAGCATCAACAGCAGAATAGTAAACGATAGTAACACCGTGACTCCAAAAGACATTCTCTCTCCAGATTCGGGCGGCAGTAGGAAGACGAGCAGGGTTAGGACTGCAATCAGGACGCATGGCAAAATATAGTTCATCATGTAAAACAGAGTACGTCTGCGTATTTGCACATGGTACGTCACATACGGGAACTCTTCTTCACGACAATCATAAGTTAACAGTCTGCGTTCTGATTTAACCCCGAGTAAAGTCCATTCACCATTCTCGACGTACCTGCATTTTAAAGTAATTGATTAACATCGTAATAATTGCCCTTAAGGTAACCAACTTGAGCAATTGTCATTGATAAAGCAGTTCAAATGCTTATATGGTCAAAGTGAGTGCAAACGCGACTCCCAATTATTGCAGGAATATTTTATCACTAATAATTATTTGCTTAAGAATCAAAAGTTTCGTTGAAAACACTTACGAACTTAGATCCGCGCTATCTCTCCTCGGATGAACATCTAAGAATTCACTGCTGTACGACCACGAACCGAATCTGAGCTCACAACTTTGGTCATCCAATGGGAAGAAGGTGATGTCAATTACACAAGAACTCGTGATAATCACTGGGTTCAACCAAGATACATTCCCATCGTGCTTTACGACTAGGCGAGCCGCGGTACTACGCCCGTCTGACATCGCTTCGGCGCTGAAAAACAGAGAAGGTCTTGGCTCTATTCATTCTCGCGCGCCATCATTAACAATTGTTTTTTTCAAGATGAAACAATTTCTAGACTCTTTCCAGAAGGCTGATAGTTTTTCCATCACTACGTGCAATCATAAGTGCAGAGATGGAAAACTCTCTTTCGCCAACGGTCATCTCGGCCGATCATTTGGCGAGCTAGTACACTTATACTTTAGAGTTTAATATAAACTGCAAGAGATGTGGGTCTTGCAAGCTACCACTCATAATGAAGTGCTTGGAGGCTGTAGGGAGAAGTCTAGGTCATACAAATGCCAAGTGCAAACATCATAGCTTTCTAGGAGGCTAGATCGGAAGGTATACCGATTCCTCGTCCTTGATAACATCCACGTAACGTAATTGAACTAATCGAGCTTTGAATCGTGTTGCTGATGTAAAAAAGTGGTTCAGATATTGTATTAAGTCTCACCTGTTTAATAGCACAACATCTGGTAGCCAAGCTTTTTCAGGGTTGATGATGATCTGTGTAATGTTTTCATATTCCGCCTTGTTCCAGGAAAATCTTGGATCATTCCAGTACTAAAACATTAAAAAGTTAACTAGTTTAGAAAGGTACTGATATTTTTTAATGTTCCAACTAAACTTTTAAACCGGGACGAAAGTTTAAAGGTAGCGTCATGATCAGTAATGGAAAGAGTTCACTCTTCGTCCACTCTCTCCAGGTTGAATCAGAATACTTCTTAGTAAGAGAGTGAAATTGCTCTCTAGAAGCGTACACTGCTAAAATTTTCCATGCAAACATTGGAAAACTCTCCTATTTTATTGCAAACGTTCACTGAGCTTAGCTTCGACAGGCAATTACTGTTCATTTCAGTGATACAACACAAAAGCAATTTTCGAGCCACCCTTCAGTCTTACTTAAATGCAAATTAACTCCAAATTAGAAGGGAACAGCTGAAAATACCATTTTATAACATAACCGTTGGGGGAGGTTCTCCCCGCGCTGATTATTGTACCGGTAAACCCACAGCAATCTTAGAATGGCAATATACCGCACACGAAAAATTTGTAACGTACGCGCCTTCGGCTCATGATTTTAAAGCTTTTCTCGTATGCTCCCAAAATCCCCCTTAGGCATTTTTTCAGTAAGCAGAGAGTGTGGTCTAATACTTTGATAAAAATAATATGAGCTAAAAACTGTAAATAGTTAAAATAAAACATACGATGTACATGAAAAACTTCGAATAGTTTGCCGCTAGATCGCTTTTCTTTCTTCCGGTCAGATTGGGTTATCTAAATTTATATGATAACAGGAGAATATACACGCTTTTTGATTGGCTCTAACCTGTGATCTATTGGACGACAAACACATGGATGACGTCACCATGAAAAACATTTTCTTTTTTTATCCCATAAAACAAATAGATTCCATGTTGCTACAGGTCTGTACAGTAATAAATCAGAGAAGACGTGAAAATGTGGTAAAAACATTAGACACACTCGGCTGTGTCTAGTGCGTTACGTTTTGTTCTTAATACATTTTGACGTCATCTGTGATGTATTACTAAACAGACGCACGGCAACATGGAATCTGTTTGTCAAACAGATCATGATAACTGAATAATTCTATCATTTGCTATTTTTTGAAGGTCTCTTTTAGTGGGATGGCCCTTATTTCTCTTACCTGCCTCACCCATACGTTCGTGGTAATGACTTCGCTTTTTTCATCCTGTAGAAAAAAAAGATAGACACTAGTTCAACACTTTTGGCACGAAATGACCAATTATGAGTGGGACCAAGACTGCTGGATATAAGAAAACTATTACGAATGCCACAGCCAATCCACTATTTCCCAATTTTAACCTCTACGATATCCTTGTACACAACCTCCCATGCCAGCCAACCCAGTGAGAAGACTGGTTTTAAAAGTTGAGAACTCCCCCTCTTGATAATCCAGAGGAAGATTGTTTTAACTGAGTCCTCTATGAGCTCAAGGTAGGAAGTGAGGACTTTCTCTTCTCTAGGATTCCCTTTTCCATAAAGAAAAGGAGAAAGGTTGCTCCTTAAGTAGCTGTTAATCCTTCACACCCTAATAATGTATGGATATTTCCCATGCTGTTCTCTACTAACTAACATGGAGAGTTTGATAATAAAAGGCTTCTTAATTTGGTGAAACTGGTAAAACCGTAGGGAGAAATTAGGTGCTAGTCATTCTTAGGGGTCACAGGTTAACGGTAACCTCCTTTCCCATTAATCTTTCAGATTTGTAATTTTCTTTGCCCTTAAGTAGGTGCAGATCAGTTCACAGCATACATTTTACAGCCCTTTCCCTCTGATCTGTCCAGGCTGTTGATCTTCATTGAGTCATGGCTTTGTTACACAAGTATCAAAGGAATACCTACGATGTAGTCATAAATGGGTGTATGTTGATGGACCTGTTGCCCCCATAATGTGTTACTATAATAATGACATATACCACTAGTTTTAGTACCATGTGATTACTTAGGGTGGACCACTAGAAACCTAATCAGGTTTGGCTAAGGGGGGGGAAGGTATTTTATTTGATACCAAATTTTGGTATTTTCACTGAGTTTCCTCCATCTTTTGGTAGCTTCTCTTTTGCAATAATGTTTAAAAATAGTTTTCCTAATAATTATGAGGAAAAAAAAGCTTTCTTTAAAAAACATTTTTCCCATCCCCCTTCCCCCCACACACACCCTCACATCATTTTGTTTGTAGTCTGTCTATCCCTGGATGTCAATAAGCTCAACTCATAGCAAATTTTCAAATTACTAATAATTAACTAACAAGGTTTTCTTTTCAGTTTTCAAAACTTAGTAAAAATTGTATCATGTTGAGAAGATATTACTTTTGTTAAGAACTGAGGTCATTGAGCTCATGTTTCTCATAACTGTTCCTTCATCTTTTTTACAAAAAAAAAAAACAACAACAATCAAGAGAAGGTGCCATGACCCAACAAAATCCAAGGTTGGGGAAATGGAGAACACCTGACCCAGGTTTGACTGCCTAACATGGTGGGTTGGGGTTAGTGTTCCCTTGCTGCCTCTGATTTAACCCCTCTACAAATACCAATACTCAAAGTTCTAAGAAAACTGGACTCAGAGGAAGAATTGTTAGGGAATATGTGACTGCTGACTCTCCTTTATTTTATCCTAAATCACAAAAATAGATATGCTTGATAACAGTTATAAAAATAATGACAATAATAATGATAATGATGATGACGATAGAAATAATTGAGAGTAATCAGTGATAAAGGACTATGGACAGTCGTGAGCCACACTCGGTAAATAAGTCATACTCATCTGCTCTATGAATGGTAAACTGGATACATTTTAAAGTTTTTAAAGTTACATGTTTAGTAGAAATTCATAGTAGTTCAGGCAAGGTTTGTAAAAACATTTACTACTCTAATTTAAGACCATCCATGCTGGCTTATTATCATGTCATTAGAGCCCTTTATTTTGCTTTTTCTAGTAAATTGAAATATAACATAAAAAACATTTCTAAATGAAAGTTTAACCTTTTCACTCACAAGATCAAGTTATTAATTGTCCTTAATGTCTGCCATACAATTCTTTTTTTAATTTGGAGAATTTGGGATGTGATCAACTAATTATCCCTAATTAATATTTTCCTTTATTCTTGTCACTGTCTGCTTGATACCCTTTTAATATTGTAAGGAAAAATTTTTTCTTGATCAACTTATTATACCTAAATGATGTTTTCCTTTATTCTCCTTGATATTCTGTTGATATTGTAATGAGAAATTTTGTCTAGGTCACTCATAGTAGTTAAGGGTTAATGGTTTACAAGCTCAGCCATGGATTTCAATGCTCTAAGAGAGATTTCATATCTCTACTTGGCCATGTAATAACCTCTATGAAACTCTTCCAGAGAGAGACCAACACACTACACTGAATAAAATCTAATTTCTCTCTTTTTCAATTTCAATCTTCTGTCACATGTTTCACAGGAAATTGAATGAGTGAAGCCTGAAGGCAAGAGAGACTTTCAGGCATGGTGCTAACATGGATCCACTTATCTTCTTGGACAATATAACACTCTACACTGTCAAGTTTATTTACAGGGTTGTTAGTATCTTCTCCTCCAAACAGATAAACAGCACTTTTCACACTGACTATGCCACATGCAGCACGTGGTACTGTGGGGCTTGAAACCAAGCTCCACTGATTCAAACTTTTGTCAAAGATTTCACAAGTTTCTTCAATTCTTGTAAAGCCCATGTCACTATAACCACCTACAACAATGATTTTTCCATTAGTGATGGCTGCTGCAGCGGAAAATTTTCTTGCATTGTTCATATCTAAAATCTGAGTCCACTGATCATTAGCAGGATTGTAGCACTCAACACTCCTTAAACACACATTATCATTATGACCACCCATTACATAGATGAGCTCCTCAAGGACAACTGCACAGTGTGCAGCTCGAGAAAATGCCATTGGTGACAGAAATTCCCATTGATCAAGGTTACATTTGTACTTCCTAACTTGACGCTTATCATCAGAATCTCCACCAATCAGGTACAGTTCTTCATTAAAGGCAACCAGTGCACTATGCGGATGGAATGGCAGGTTCTTTTCAGTAGAAAACCACTCATTTTGAACAGGATTGAAGCAACATAATGGGATCTCTGAGAAACCTCCAACCACATACAACTGACCACCACATACTGCAGCAGCATGTCGTGTTCGGGGACATGGCATCATAGGTAATTGTAACCACTTCTTTGTAGCAAGAACAAAGCCAAGGGTGGTAGAGGTTGATATCGATCCTGACCTGTGACCACCAGTAAGAACTACCACTGTCTCCTTAAATTTAAGGCATAATCGAGGCCCTTGTAACAATACATAATCTTGAAAAAGAAAAGCCCTGAGCCACTGAATCAAAATTTTCATACAAGCTGGGTTCTTTATAACCAAGTCCTCTCGATCAATGATCCTTTTAAGACTGTGCTTTGACATCGAGGAAGCTCTCACGCATTTCAGGAGCTCTGGTAGTAAGCACTCTCGCGATGCGACTTCGTGCTTAACCCAGATAATCACTGCTTCGTAAACTTCTTCCTCTTTAGAGACAACTATTTCGTCTCGTGAGATCAAGTCCTGTACCCTCTCGAAGTCCAGTGATTTAAAATCATCTGTTTTCACCACAGAGGGAAAATTTTCCATTTTGTAGGAGACTGAGGCCTGCTTCAATAAATCACAGTTAAACTGCCGAGCGAAAGACTCTAGCGCAAGGCAGTTCGTGACGCTGATTGTTCCTTCCAGGAATTTCGAGGCTTTCAATTTTAAACTTGGCAGCATCAAGAAGTCGGCCGCCATAATCAACTCTTGAGCACTCGATGAGTCAGTTTCCGCTTTCCCAGTGTACATAAACTGAATAATTTCATTCATTATGGCACCTGTTACGTTTTTTAGCTCTACGAAGCCGCTATCGTTTTCCCTGAACTCTGAGGTAAACATCGCCCGGAAGTAGGGACTGGCGGCTGTTAAAACACATCGATGAACTGGGAAGTCTTTTCCTTCGGTTTTGATCGTTGTATCGCACAGAATGTTCGATTTCCTGAGCTCGTTGAGGCTTTGAAGCAATTCGCCTTTATACTCTTCATCTAACAGACGCTCCATGCTCACTGCGGCTTCGTTAGGACAGTGAAGTCTGCGAAGTACGTGAAGTAGTTTACTGGTCCCGCCACCTGAGCTTTCACGAAACCAACCTCGTTCCCAGTGTGCTCTCTCTTCCTCCAGGAGGAATGAGGTTGCCATGATACAACGGAACAAAGTCTAAACGAAAGGAACATTCTTTGCAGATAAGCCAAAATTTGAACAATTGCAGAAGAGAAGCCTGAAAAACTCAGGCTTTAACGAGATTCGAGCCCGTGCCTCCAAGATACTAATTGGGATCCAAAGTAAACAAACTATCAAAAACCTTCCCGTCAAAACGTTTGTCTAAATTTGTATCAACGAAATTAAAAGATCCTCGCAGCTAAGAACACTACTGAAACGAGTAGTTGAAAAATAGAACCTGAAAAAAATTCAGACCCCTACGGGATTTGAACCCATGACCTCTGCGACACCGGTGCAGCGCTCTTCTAACTGAGCTAACAAGCCAACTGGGTCCAAATAAATGTGTTGGGTCCAAATAAACCATCCAAGTGATGAATGATGATTTTTAGATATATGAAATTCATATATTCTTAATTGATTCCTATTCTTAATTTGATTAATCCTTAAATTAACTGTCATGGGTTCAAATCTGCACGGGCCTGAATATTTTTCAGGTCCTATTTTCAACTACTCGTTTCAGTAGTGTTATTAGCTGCGAGGATCTTTAAATTTCGTTTCTTCACCGCAGTGCGAATATATAAATTTGTATCAGTTAAAGAATGGTCCTTCGGTTAGATAAATGCGCATGCATGCCTAGAAATGTAGATCACTTTTGAGTAGAATGAAAGGTTCGTCATTTCACTGTGGGAAGTTTAGTTACTTAGGCTTACTGTGGGAAAGCTTACTCGACGACGCGATTGAGGTTAACACTTATTCTTCCAAAAAGCACTTCCGGCGTTTATGCGCAGGTGCTGGTTACCTCTAAGTAATCACTCAATCAGCCAATGACCTCTAACTGCTCCCACGGCTCGTTTTTCACATCAGATCGTAAACAATCGAAACAATTCACAGAAGTTAGGGTTTGGGACTAAACCCGTATTTAGTTTTGGTTCGACGACCCCTTCAATATACTCTAAAAAAATAAATTTTATGATAAAAACTCGCGTGTTTAAGGTGAGGAGAAATTAAAAGAACTACAATAAACCCGAGCTGTGTTCGTGAGATTGCTCCGTAAGCTTCCAAAAAGTGACGGAATCACTTACTTACAAGAGCGTACTCGTTACTGCGTTACTCCGTTTAAAAACAACCTCATCATAGTGGGAAGCCTAAGTGAAGGCCACCGTGGTTTCTTGCTTAAAAAAAAAAGATGGATTTACGGCATTTCACTGACATCAATCGATGCAATTAACAATGCGGACGGCACGCCACTAATTACATATCCTCAAGTACATGCTTCTTGACATGATTGTTATTATTACTCAACACACGCCTACATGGGCACTGAAGATGGTTTGGCTGACATTTGAACTGGTTTTCACAAACAGAAAGAGTTTGAATTTGTTACAATGCTTAAATGCTGCCCTCGAGAGTTTCTTGATACATTCATTTTCTGACATTCTTTGAAGCATGTCATGTAACTAAGATATGAGCCATTAATTTTAAAGATATAGGTCATTTTAAGTCATGTAAGTGGTTATTTTCAGAGGCATTTGCAATGCTAAATTTATCAACACGGAACTTTCATTTCCATCTTGGATCTTGCGTGTTGAAGTCCTGGCCAAATGAAGAGTTTGGCTGAAGGTCAATTCGTAAAGGAGAACTCCATTCACACTGGTTGTTCGATGAAGCCTTTCTTTTTGAGAGCGGTAAGTTTTTAAAACAATTTACCAAAATATGATCCTTACTCTTGAATCTGTTTAGAAGTGATGCAGTGGCATAAAATTATATTGTGCAGCAAAAAAAAGAAACGTTTTCTTGCCCATGTTATCGATAAGAATAGCCTTTCCGATCGAGAAAGTTTCTTCAATTGTTCTCTTTGTTAGACAATTACCGGTAGCTTTGAAAAATCATGCTAGCCGGCTTTAAACTTCCAGTCAAGTTTGGACAAAGGGCTCATTCATTTAACCTCTCTTTAGTAACAATAATTATTTGAAGAGCTCTGAACGTAGGCGTAACGCTGCGTTAGCAAAAAACGCGGGTAAAGAGCACATAATAACAAAAACTGTACAACAAAACAAATCAAAACAAAAAGTAATCCATTCAAAAACAAAAAAAACCGTTGCTTTGCAATGGGTGGCAAATGATCTTTCCAAAGGGCACTTTAGGTCTCGCAAATTCTCGTCAAGTTCACAAATCCGCTTCTTCTGTATTTTATTGACTGTTATTACACACAATCAAATTTCAATGATCTGCAGAAAACGTTTTACGGCCTCTTGCCTCTAAGCTCATGAGCCTTTAGTAGGAAATCGCAATGGCCCTATTGTGGGAAACCGCAGGGCAAGCTCATTCTAAATCGAAAGGCTGTTTAGTTTAATCGATTTCACGAGGAGATTTTGTAATCTCGTGGTTTCAGCTGACGCTATATTGACTTTCACCTGAAGAAGTGCGGCCGAGTGCAACCGGTGACTCACCTGAAAATTATAGTGAAAGTTGAAAGACTAGACTGCTTTTCGATTCAGTTTTGTAAAGCCAAACTAATCATAACAGTCAAGATAACATGCACAGCTCTTGTTGTCTCGTAACAGTTCATCACAACTGAGTGAAGATCACGAGAAGCCGATGACAATCCAAATACGAAGGTAAATCATGTAAACCACCACCACCACTAGCACGGGAAAGCGGGAGTGAGCAATTTCGAACTGTTTCAAGGTTTGTATCTGATTGGTTGAGAGAGTGGCGCAATTTTTCTCAGGGAGCACAACGCTGCAAGACTTATTAACGCAAAATCAGATTACTTTGATGCTCATTAGTAAAATATCTCGAAATAGGGGCAAACCACAATAAAACTTTTCACTCACCACTTTCATCAACTGCAGCAGTGCGATGTCTATGAAAATGTGAACCACATCTGTTTCCTTGATCACAGGGCGAGCTTTCTTGTTATAGTCTTTCATAATATTGTTTCGTAGCTTCTCCTCTACGGCGCTTGCACTGCACACTAATAAGAACATTTTGAACCCGTTGATTCACTGATTAATTTTAACCCTTTGATGTTTCTAAGTCTTAATCTTAGGACTAGAACTGATTCCCTGAGCCTTCCCTAATGGCGCTGTCGATCAGTTGTCAATGTAGTGCAAACCTTTAACAACAACACTGACGACACATGTTTTAAACTCACAACTTCAGACGAGAGTAACTCGTTGATTTTTTCACTCCAGGGTGGACATACGAATTCTCCTTACTATGCGCCATACATTTCTTACAATATCAGCTCTAAGAATTTCGAGTTAAATTTAACTTATATTTTAGTTGTTGTTTCTTTTACGTCTTGCCACTTTCTGTTTAAAAGAGTGATTTTAAATCCTTGTAAAACCTTTCCCATCTGTTAAAAAAACGATGGAAAAATTTCATGAGCCCAATTGGCTCCGTGGCCTGAATTAACAACGATATCGTGTCAGCGACTCGGTTTCTTTCAGTAAGTTTGCGGAATAGAGCTTTCTGATTCATGGGATGTCCAAGTTGTAAGGAACCAGCGATTAGTGGCAGAATATCCTATTTGCTTTTGGAAACTTAGTTCATTATTGTGTCGTCCTCCTCAACGCTCTTTAAGCGATTGAGATAAAAAAATATACGTGTCTGCTATGGGTTACTTTTCCTGTGAAATCTTGATCCATCGTCATTGACGCCAGGAGGTCCCGTTGTCCTACTGGTTTGCGATTTCAGGAGGCGAGATAATCTCCTGGTGTGGCTCTAGTTGTTTGCGAACCTTTATGAGCTAAAATCTAGCATTTGATTTTGGGAGGAATACAACCACTTTGAGTGAATTTATAGGGTATATAGATTTGACCGATTTTCGTCAAATTTCGCCAAAACACTCTAGGAAAAATTACAAACGGAAGTGTGTCGGGAATCTTTGATATCTGAAATATTTTTCCCGTGGCGTCCATTTACGCAATACGCCTCTCATGTTTTCAGCTACTTCAACTTAAGATGCCGATATCTAAACAACCAATCAGAATATCGAAAAAGCCCGATACGTTTTTGTTGATTGATGCCTTGTGAATAAAACTGTGCAGCCATTTTGCTCGTGCTGCGGCATCCGATACCCGATAAATTTAATAGAAGAACCTTCGGTCGTTTCACGCCTTACCGGTTCCTGACACTTCCTCAAAAGAAATGTCGCTTAAATTATATTTTTATCGTAAACTGCAGTTGTTAAGCTTTCCTGTGATAGGACACCAGCGAAGGTGGGAATTAACCTTAAAAGCTTCCAAAGGTGACCAGCTGTCAGAACCAATTCAATGTTCGTCTTTCGCACTGTCGCAGGGCTAATGCCTGAAACGTCAGCTTTAGAAACTGTTCACGGTGCCGTAATTTAAATTATCAACTTGGTTGATAAAACTACATCATTTGTAAATATTCCCCTACCGACGCAGCATCACATTTTCTTCAGACATTCGTCTAAGTTTAATCTCCGTCCCGGTAGTGAAACCATTATTATAGCCCTTAGCGCACAAAATCTATGTGCATGATACTATCGTTACTATATCATCATTTTGTCATCATAGTCCTCTCTGAATACTGTATTGGTCGCTATCGTTAAGTAAGCGGTTCGCCTCCGCAATTTTTCAGCACCTACGCTTTTTCATTTGTTTCCACTAACCGGAAGCTTGGGACAGGCTGCATGTATCATCGTTATAGAATTTATTTCTTTCCTCCACCCTTTCCTTCCCGATACGCATAAAACTCTAAAATTAGAATCTTAAATATTTGACTGAACGCCACGTGCTTGATCAGTCTGAAAAATCTGAAATTCAGCTTTTCACTTTTTCCTAGAATAAACACAGAAACACCTTTTTCAATCTATATTTTGACTTTAAAAACGTGTTTTGTGACCGGTTATTCTATTTTTTTATTATGAGGGAATTTAAATGTCATGTTGCAAAAAGTCAAACATGAAAATATAACTGTATATTGGTGTCTTATGGTAGCGACGAAAATGTTTCTGGCCTGCTCGTTATAGCAAAATTGAAACATGTAAATCTCGCTCCAAGAATGCATACGTAGTTGATTAAAAATTAAACTCACCTGGGTTTTTCAAGGCAAAAGCTATGCAGTGGAAAGTAAAGAGGAATGTAATACCGGTCATCTTGAAAACGTTATTTTTAAGTCACCATCCAATCCTAAAATTATACCAATGTTGTTAATATACTCGATAGAGCTTTGGGGCTCTTCGAGAAATACGTCGTTCTAGTGTAAACCGCATAACAGGTGACCGATGCGATACTTTGGAAAATTCATTTGCTATTCAAATGAGTTAACAAAGGAAACATTGTGGAAGTAAAGAGAAACACAACATCATGACTGCGTTTTGTCACAAATTCTGTCTGCAAGATACAAGACATGCTTTTATAGTGGCGTTCGCAAAAGTGGTTCGGGTTCGGGCCCGAAGCCCTGGCCAGGTCACCGTGAGTTGTTTTCTTGACCAGAACACTTCACTCCCACAATGCCTCTCTCTCTTTCTCTCTCTACCCAGAACTAAAGATTGCACCTGAGAAATCGGGGCTGTTACCTGCAATGGAGGAATACCAGTCGCCACATCCGGGTGCAGTTATAACCCGAAATACGCCATAGTAATAATAAGACATTCGGCTTACCAGATTTAGTATGTTTTGCTTTGTTACATGCCACTTTTCCCCAGTTCTATTCGTCCAAGGCAACGAAATTTCACGTTTTTTTTTTCTTACGGTAAGTTTCGCTGGCTTAAACACGAGTTCTGACTAAATGCATAGGTCTGCTTACTGGCCAGCTACAAATGCGTGACTTTGCAGATGCTAAATTTCAACTATGAAAAAATTGGAACAGTGCACATTAAGTGATGAACGTGTTTTTGAAAGGAGATCTGATCTGTATTCATATAGGCTCTTAAATTTACTTGCAAAACATTTTCGAAGCGTAACTGTGTATTATGTTAAGTTTTGAAGCGTGATTCAGACTTAAGTAGCAGGAACCGAAAAAAACTCAGTAAGTATAATCCTCATAAAACTCTCTAATATCCAGCAACGTTAGTGAGAAAAGCAAATCTGAAATATGAGATTACGTGCAATTTATTTCACTAAACAAAGTTTTGAGGACGGATTGATATCGTTGCCGGGAAATGAAAATGGTAAAAGATGGATACATAATGAAATGGTCTGTCTCGAAATTCCTTCCATGTTAAGGTCCTCTGTCCTATGAGGGAATCGATCAGAGTTCAGGTCATGATGGGATGAAACTGAAACAAAGCAGTGTAACAACAATAACAACGACAACAAAAAATCAGTTAGGTAAAAGCTATTGAAGCGTTTAAACAAATTTAAAGAACGTGCCTGAAATAAATACTCATTGATCATCGTAGTCCGCGAGATTCAAAGGAAGGCCAATTCCATTCAGGCTGGAGAAGTAAAGATCGCTAAAGAGCTGAATCTTCTCTTACTTTTGTTGAACACAATGTACCACCCCCCCTCCCCAGCTGTGGGGAGGGGGGTGGTACATTGGTACATCAATTCAAGCAGTTGACCCCTTCTGGCGCTATTTTGCTTCAAAGATGTGAAGTTATCTTCTATCAGGAATGCGAGAACTAATTATGCAAATTGATACATTGGCGACACCTTTGTTTGGGTGAAAATTTACTTCTAGACATAATTGCTGGTTTTCCATCATTGTTATATTTTGATTGTATTACGTAAATATATGTTGGAGGCTAATATTATTACAAATAGCAGGTGTACTTCTGTGACCGTCCCCGTATCCCCTTTAAAGGCCACTTCTCATTGATCCCTTCGTGGGGTGGTCGTTGTGGAGAAGTTCGACTGTAATACAACTTGAATTTACTTCGATATCAATTCCGCAAGTGGTTTATTGTTTCGGTTCCAATCACCTGTCCAATGTCAGAGACTACAGAAGATGAAGTAAAACATCATTTACAGAGATGTTTGTCTGCCTTATCTTTATAAGATTCATTTCCCATCATTTATTGCTCTTAAATACTGTGCCTTTTTTTTTTAATGACAAACATTGTTTACAACGAGAAAGCAATGTTTAATCATTCTTTTTTAAAAAAATTTCGTTTTGTTGGGGAGTCAGTCATATTTCATCGTAAACACGACATTTGCTGTAATCTATTTTTTATAACTAATTTAAATATCTTTATTAAATCTTAGTGTTCTATTTTTAAAATGGCATAACACCTAAAAGTATGCAATAAATCGAGACAAACCCTTGAAACAAAACTTGGTTGTGTTTAGCAGAGACCAGCGACCACTGCGAATACCAAATCTAACAATAAAGGGCATTAACCAGTTAAAATTTAATGTTCTTAAACAATCAGAACTGTCTCCTTTACCATTTGGATACGCTATTTACATGTTCGTGCCTCCATTCTCTGACATTTTATCTCAGTTCTACATGAGTGACGGAAAGAAGACACGATCACAGCATTCCTTTCTTAGTTTATTCGTAGTTGGCGCTCCTTTAAATTCTGAATGAAGGAAAGGCACAAGAAGCAGGACCCCCAGCTATGTATTGGCTTACCATTGTTCGTGTACTTGGACTCAAACAGTAAACTCTTTAGGCATAGCAAAGCCATGATTGTTTTGGGAACATCAACCGCTGTTCAACGCCTGGTTGTTTTAATTTTCTCGCGCAGCAATGAACAAAGGAAATAAAACGCGTAGCCTGTGTCACTCCCACGCTGGGTATCTTGCAATTATAAATTTGGATACGATATTTTACGAATTTCAAATGGTGAAAATTTTACAAAATACAAAACAGAATGTGTGTAAAGCTCATTATGAATTTTTTAATTTATCAATTAGTTAGAATGGAATGCTCGTGGCGCAGCAAAAAACATCTGCTTTGCTCGAGATATTTACCCTTTTGAAAACCAAGCCCGTACGTTGTGGTTAGATAGGATTTAGTAGAAACAAAAATATTTTCATATTTCGGGTTGATAGCTAAAGCGACACCGCCAGTATTTACTCCACTTGGTTCGCAAAATGCTTGCTCCTTCATGGCCACTTAGTTAAAGATAAGTGATAGACTCGCCAATCGAATGACAAGGATTTGACCGGGTTCAATGTCATTCACATCTAACCACTGAGCATTTCTGAAACACTTTTAAACAAGACTTACATTGGCTTTTTCTGGTCCAAAGTGAGAAGTGAAGCTGTTTTAAGCAGTAATTTGGAAACAGAATTTGTTTGAGATATTGTTCAAGGTGAGTGCCAAATTCAATATTTCCCTGGAATTAGTCGTCTCACCGTTTCAACCGTGCAGCTTCTGTGTTATTACTTATTGGATTTGTTAATAGTGATGTTGGAGTAACTGCGCGCTGAAATACCGCGGCACTCTTTACCGTCATTCATATCATCACTGATTATGGTGCTTAGAAGATAATACCGAATTCCCACTTAACACGGATACAAAAACCGCATGTCCATGCAGCGAGCCCGGCTGAGTTCTCTTTAACTGTGCGCTTTTTTACGATGACCCAATGTGAAGTGCCTGAAATGCTGGGGAGATCATGATAGAAAATGAACGTGTTTTTACGGCTCACGTTTCATCAATCAAAACATTCTATAGTGGATATATTTTAGGCAGGGTCAAACTGAAAGGAACAAATTATCTCAGTTCTATCTTCTACATGGCGAACCCGGTGCCTCTGATACAGCAGTCATTTGGTATTCTTAGACTGATTTTGTGGGCAAAGCTATCATGTCCCTGTTTTCATACAGTTGCAAATTGTACGTGGCTAGCGCGAATTCGAACAAGAGGTAGGAACACCTCTCTAAAGCAGACTATATACATGGCATAAGTAATAAGGATGAGAGATTTTTTGCATCGCTGCTGCTTCTTTGAACAATGTACTTCGTCACTTGAATTAAATATCATTTTCCTCCGCCTCTGGTCTCCAATCCCCAAATTCTTTCTCCCCTCTCGGCCTCTTTTTACACTGCTTGTGATTCATAAAGTTGGAATTAGTCGCACAATAACAGCAGAAAAAATTAAGGGGGCACCGTCCTGATCCTTTAACTGACAGTGGTCGGTGAAAATCACAGAAATCCATTTTTACGTTATACCTGACTGAGCGAAATGATAATTCCTTTGGAAGAAGCTGTGTACCCTCACTGCATTCTGTTTCGCTTCTGCTCGATTTTTTAGGGCTGTCGGTGTCTTTTTAATTGCCTCCTAAACATTTCCCAAGTTTTCAGAGTGAGTTACATACAAAATGCTCTACAAAATGCTAGTGAAAGTAATGAATGTTGTGCCAGATAGTTTTATTGATCGCATTTAGTTGCAAGATGTTTCGGGAACTTTCCTCTTTATTGAGGACCTTCTTGATAAAGAACTTAACCCTTTCAGAGCTGAACAAACACCAGATTAGTGTTTCGATTACATATTTTTTTAAGTTTTGTTTGTATCATTCACAGTCTCTCGTGTTTTAATTAACGGATCATTCTATGGAGGATAACACCTGCTGCTGTTAATTTTATTCGTCGAAGCTGTTTCCTTTTTTCTTTCTTTTCTTTTTTTTCCCTTTTATTGGAGTCTTATCTCAGTCTTTTCTAAAAATCGTACAAGGCAAACCACGATCTACGAGAACTCGAAAATTCCATAGCTCCGTCGCAGATCGTTATCAAACAATCCTGGAGGTGTGTTCCCATACACGTTTGTCCCCAGATAAATTTCTCGCTCTCTTTCACTACAAGTCTTCCCACTTCTCCAACTTAGCTTGCGTTTTCCGGCCTGGAGAAGGGAGGCAGTAAAAAAGCCTCTTTGTAGGCCAGTTTACGTTATCTTGCATGTCAATCTGCTTCCTATACCAGAGGCCTATTCAAAAGAGGTACATCTCGCTTTAATTTGAGTCGTCTTGGGGTCGTTGAAAATTGACGCAATTTGTTGGGAAATTAAATAGAACAGTTAATCATCAAATCTGAGAGATTCTGACAGGCAAAGGTTAATAAAAGTAAACACGGTTGGACGAGGATTGAGGAGATTATCTCGCGGATTTCCATACGTAGCAATCTTGAAAACTCAGGCTCAATAATCACGATTTAGCTCCTAATTATTTACAGAACATAGGCTAAGAAACGCTGTATGTGGCTGATATGAAAAAATATTGCTTGGAAGAACTCTGCCCAATATTTTTGTTCTTAAGTCTGTAAAGACAACTTATCGAGAAAAATTTGGTTAAAATGTTTCTCAGATGACTCAGCTTGTTGGATTATGAATCGATTTATTCATTCATTATTATTATCGATTCAAAGCGGGTTTTTTTGTTATTTATTCTCGATATTAACTCAAATCAGGTAATTTTTTACAAAGAAATAAAAAGAAAAATTTGGTGTTGTCTACAGAACCATTGATAACAATCGGATATGTATTAAATATTGAAAAAATGATGAAGCAGTAAAATCAACAACTCCCGTAATTTAGACGATAAAAACAAATGGTCATCATAATTGAGAGGCGACAAAAACTATCTGCTCGTTAATTGCCAATCTAAATCCAGTCACCGGTGAGACCAAACGCGGAGCTAAGATTTGTGGTTTGTCCTACGAGTATTTTGTAAAATTTCGCAAACATCCGGATTTAAATTTATTCTCAAACGTGTTTTCAAAGTTAAAAAAAAAAAAAAAAAAAAAAGGAAAAAACCCAGATGAATAATCAACAGTTATTTAGAAACTGCTCGACAATTTCCATAGCGAACTTGGTGAAAATAGTTTGTGACGTCAACCGCTGAGCAGATGAGCACAAAGGACACAATTAGAGCACTTAGCTCGTACGGAGTCATTATCCAGCTGCTTTTGTTGAAGAATAATTTATTCAAACGATGCGTAGGGCCATAAATATTGTGGAAACTGGTAATTGAGGCGTAAAGTAACTCGGCAAACTTGTCCTAAACTAACGAAGTTTGCCGATATCTGATAGCTGTCGTTATTTTTAATACTCAGGGCACTCGTGGATTCGTGTTAGACAGCATGTCACAGAAAAAAGAAGCTTTGGCAGAGTTGTTTAACTGCACCTGGAGACCAGATTTGAAGGTAATGATGATATATTTAGAGTTGAATAATGCAGCTGTGTCCCGTCAAAATCGTAACATGTTCACAGAGCACTGCTTTGGTGTTTGGACAGACAATTTTACGCGTAAACAGATCTTGAATGAAAACTTAACAGTCACGCAGGTTGCAAGTCGATCGAAAAATGTAATTTTAAAACTAGCAAACCGTTAATAGTATTCACGTACAGACTACAAACATGTTACTTGTCACAACACTGGCACTCTTTTCTATCAAGTGTTTAGTGTTATTTATGTGATGGAATGCGAAGTTAAAATTCCGCGCTCATCAGCGCTGCCAACTTGTTGACTGACCTTTCGCGGCTGGTTTGAAATCGTCAAGACTTGAGTCACTAGTTTCTGCGGTGAAAACAAACGTTACGGTGCTTAACGTACTGCTTTAAAGAAGTGATTCGATTTAAGATGGTCTTATTCTCTCATAACACACAGGTAAGCCTTGGAACGCGCTTTTACCGTGTAAAACTAAACCTTGTGCTAATAAGCGCTTTTGTAGTACTGTTTATTTTGGTAAATACTTGTCGCTTCTGATGTCTGTTCTACTTCTCATCTGAGTTTGTATCCTGGCGCTCGTTACTAAATAACACGGCAAATAATTATTCACGCTTCGATGATTTGTTTTCAATTGGATTTTACACATTCGTTTTAAGAACGAACTTTCGCTTCTAAGGGAACTTTCCCTTGACAAGTAGCGTCATAGATTGGCGATCAATTGCCTCGGGAGTTCGAAATATGTTGTTTTTCCTTAGTTTCTGTTTACAAGTATCATCCGATAACCCTCCATGCATAATCGTTAGCGATTGAATTTCTCGTCATCAAAATAACCTAAACAATTTTCAGCTCGATGTTCATTTGCAACTGCGGCCGTCGTTCGCTCTTTGGGAAGAAAGATTGCGAGACCAATGCAGTCACAATTTATCAGAAGTTTGAAAGCTCAAATCCAAGTGAACAGCAAATTGGAACAAATGTGTTCCTGCTTAAACAGGAAATCAATCGTTTATTCTTTTCAAATTGTACTTGCACTTTGTCAGTCTTAAAGTTATGATCTTCTTATCTCTGCAAACCAATGAACCAGTTTGGATTTTGAAACACTGATGATGTCTACTGTTTCCTTTTATGGAATCTTCGCGATCGTGAATTTTACTGTTTGTACCACATACATGAATGAATAGCGTATTGGGGTAGAAAACTTGAGGTAAAAGGTTTTTTATGTATGTGTGATATACGAAATCATGTGGCGTGTGAGCGCTACACGACAAGTGAAAAACGAAGTCTTAATTACTTTGCGTGACTCTTCACCTTTTATCTTGTAAGATCTTCGTAATGCGGTGCGGTTAATTTAAGAAAATTACTTATCGGTTGCTGAAGTGAAATGCAATTTCATCATGAGAAGAATATCATAGATGAGCGTCTCCCAAATACATTGTCTTATAAAAATTAGAGAAGAAAATTGAAGCTACAGAGATTTTTTTGGGAGGAGTGCCGGGTGTCGGGGGAAAGGTTTGATAGTCATCTACGATAGCGGGATATGTAAAAGAGAAAGACATTTGTAAGCCGAGCCGGAAGGAAAGTTATTGGATACTGTTTTATAACAGAGAGACAATCAGAAACGGGGTCATCTATTTGATAAGGTCATTTTTGAAACGAGACATGTCGATTTCCTTGGTAGGGTCCTATGTGTATTTAAAAGTGAGGCTGACAAGAAAGACATAAACGGGTGTAATTTATAAGATAGGAAATGTTTATTTTTTAGAGAGAAATTTGATCATTCCTGGCAGATAAATGACGATTTCCAGTGGGAGTCTCCTTTTAAGAGACTTCAGAAAAGAGCCGGTCATTTTGATTAAGTCCAAAGAGTCTTACCCTCAAACTGGAGGGTGCATTATCGATGTTAATTTTAGAGGGAAAGGGTTATTTCAAGGCGATTTCATATTGAGGAACGCTTATTAGGAAGACATTTATTGCAGTGGCACATTATCAGACATACTTTTTTGTAAATCAATTTGCGTCATGTTTTTCCTTTTAATCCACATAGTCGATAGCCTCCAGTAGCAATTTATGAAACCTGATTTATTCCGTAGAAGTATTTTAAGCACCCTATGGTGTTCACAAGCACTACCTATATCTCTCTCTCTCCAAGGAAATAATGATTTTCACTTTGTCTTGATGGTTCTTTATTGAAAAACTACCGTGTATTGTTTAAGTCTCTGTAGGAGACTAAGGAGGCTCTCACGCAATATGAAATGTTTCGTTTTTCTCCCAGATCCTCGCTTTTGAATTGAACTTCATTTAAGAGTCATCTCATCTCAAACTGAAATTTAGGTTTTAAATCTAAAAGTTCAATTGAATTAATTATTTTGAAGAGTTCACTTTTGTGGTTAACTTTGCAATTTTTACCCAGTTACAGTTTATCACCTTGGGAGGTGAGGGGGGGGGATTTACCTGATTCCCCCCCCCCCTCCTTCAAAGGATCTGTAACATTCTTGTGATTTCCCGCTCATTGACAATTGATTTTCTATAGTACTCGCTTTTTACCCTATTGGCAACGACTGATAGCTGATTTCAACCTCCGTCCCCACTAAAAATCATATAACCCCTACCCAAAAATCCTGCGTCCCCGGGCCTCCCTCCCACAGGCGGTGAAAAACGAATAGTCTCCTAGCTCTTTCGATAACTGTATCATTTTGTCTACGGGTCATCACAGAAGTCCTTTAAAAAATTGTTGTTCCAATGCTTATTTCAAAGAATCAACATTATTTGTAAACTTGCTTATAATTGGTGTAGGTTTTTCTATGTTAGTTTCAAGATTATGAAGGAGAGGAATTTTATAGGCGTTCTTTTTGCATGTACCATTCTAGGTGGGCAAAAGAAGAGGAGATTTTTTTATTGTTCCTTTTATTGATCCTCGAAATTCTCTCTAGGAACGCTCTCAGTAGTTTCGTAGCGAGTCTTGTGTGTTTCATGCAGGAGAGAGTGATTTTTGACTCTGTTAAAGGACCTAAGTCTTCAACGAGTACGATGTCCTACTGATAAAATTTGCGTAGACCATTGTCATTTCGGCATGTGATAGCCTTCTCTGTGCCATGGCGACTGTTTGTAAAAACAGCTAATTGGCGAACAGAATTTACCAAAATTTCAACAGCTTATGTCTTCAGTTAGGGCTTACAAATAAACCAAAGATGCCAACCTCTGCTAAAATTTCTGTGAAGCAAATTGCTCTACAGATAGTGGAATTTAGCTTCTTAGGGTGTATATCTGAACAGTTGGATCAAGTACATGAAACTGTTTATGGCTCATATTGCCTGGGCTTATCCCAGATTCGTTTGCACCAAGCGACTAGGAATGTTGCTACTTCTCCAGGTTCCAAGATGGTATACGGGCCATTGAAGGTAACGCGGTCCTAGCAATTCATACATTTCCAAACAGTTTGGTGGTAGTTCATTTTGCATTATGTTACCGGGTAGAGAGGGACATTTCGAAAGTAGTGCATCTTACCCTAAAACAGAACCCATGACACCCTGTGAAGGCCTGATAACGCATCTATTAATCTACGAGTCTGTCGTAATAACCATTTCGTCAGCGTCTCCTTCAAATTTTCAAAGTATTGCTTAAGAACTTTCGGTCAAAGCCCATACTGGCAGTCGTGATTAAACGAAAAGTCTTGATTGACTTTAAGTGCACGAAAAGTAATAAAATTGTGAAATATGTAAGACAAAAGAAATATGGACAATGCAGAACACGTTTTTATTGAAACGAAGACACGAAAATAATAAAGATAATCCAAGTTTATTAAAAAGTGGCAGCGTACTCTAAGGGTGTGACATGAAGGCATCATTGAATAATATTCATATATTGTTCCTGTATCACATCGTCAGTATATTAGTAAGTCAATATATCATTTGTAAATAACGAATTAGCATACTTTAAAAGTTCTACTTGTCATTTGTGAAGTTTATCGCTCCGAAATTTCATTTGATATCGTTTTTATCTCTTTGGATGATTAACTAATTGTGCAGCAAATGAGGTGTTATTGAATCCTATCATGCTCGCTTATTGTTTAAGGATTGTGTGAGAATAATTGTGGGATTGCATTTAAGGGTTAGCTTGCTCTTTTGTGTCGAGGAATGCGTATTACTTTGCATGTTGTTTGACATCCACAACGACCTTTCGTCCGTTTGGTGGTATGTGTGCCATTTCCGTGGAAGCTGATACGAAGCTGTTTTAAGTTCGTGTTATTTCCTCAGTCTGCCTTTCACTCTTGTGACTTCAAATAACAACTCTTATCTCAGATGAAGCTGTGATTGAATGTGAAAGGCCGATTTGCTTTTGTGCGAATTTACTCACACTTCAAACCTGGTTTATCTCTTAATTGTCAAGAAGAAAACAAGACTAGGATTAATGTCAATGACTTAAATATGAAAAGCCTCAAGATGAAACTGGAACAGATCGATGAATACAAGGTGAGTCCGTGGTCGAGTTAAAGTCGCATTGCGGGAAGAATTGGGAAGTCGCTGTTTGTTGAAAAATTTGGTGATAATAGTTATTGTACTTGCTGACCACTTAAAGGGAGTTTTTACCCTATCGTTTGGTCGCGGATTTCGAGATCTCGTATTAGATGATTGTAAACTGGGAAATTAGGCCAACTACGACTGTTCTCTCTCGAACTTGACGAAGTGAACGAGTGGTTTGTTCATATGGTTATCATCGGTGGCCATACTGTTTAACTCTAAGTGCTTGTTATGTGTAGTGGATTAATCGCCCATCAGTATTAGGTAAGAGTCAACTTCTACCGATATTTTCGAGTTTATTAGAGACTTTTTTTAATGTTTGCGCCGTTTAAAACCAATGGTATACATGGGCGGCAATCGTTGTTTGGTTTTAGTTGGTTGAATAACATTTAAGCGAAAGAGAATCTGACAGCAGACAGTATAAATTTCTTGACCTCCCATCCATGACAAAATTTTTATCCAAAGGTATCAAAAGTGAACTACAACCTTGAAAAATCGCGTTTTCCTCTACAGAGTACATTTTTCCTTGAGTGTGTGATCGAATGGTCAGCACTATATCCAAAGATGAAATCAGAATACTTTTTAATGTGGACAATCTGTCTGTATCAGACTCGACAGCGAAGCAATTATTCAATTTGGCAGTCGTGCATGGACAAAAGGTGAAGCGGAAGTTGAATTATCCTAAAATAAGCCTGGTCATAGTAAGAGTGTCGCAGAGATCACGTGACTATTTCACTGATGTCAGCGGTTTTGGCGAGCTTCGTTTCCGTCGAATATTGTGCCTCGCTTCGCTGTCATTTTCAATATCGATGTTGCGAACAGCTGTCGAAAATATTAACTTTCTAAGTATTCGAAACCTTAGCAGTTGTTTATGTTTGATTGATGAACTGTAGAAAACGGGCTTCATATGGGATCTTTAAAAACCTTAGATCATTGAACTTTACCATCTAATCTTCCAGGCTTGGGATTTGAGTGTTGTCATGTAAGCTCATAGAGAATGACTCAATGTCATCTTTTGTGAGAAAAGCAAAGGGATGTTGCATTTAGCCTTTTTTCTTTTGGATTAAATTAATTCAATTTTGCCCTTTATAATCAAATTTATCATAAGTAGTCAACGCGAAAGTAGCTTGACGCCGAAGGCCAAAGATTTGCCAGATAGGTTTGTGAACCTGGTTGAAGGTCTAGTTCAGTCTTAAGATATCAATAGTACACGTTTCCTAAGGCTTTGATAATTGCTGATTTGTTGTAAAGGGTGGTTTGCTGTGTTATTATTTTGTGGAATTGTTTTAATTCATGTTGGGATCTTCGATATTGTTCAGTTTTCATCTTTGATCGAAGTCTACGTGTAGCTGTAGCTCTCAATTATCAGCACATTGGATATTTATTCTTGCGAAAACGTAGGCTTTATTTTTATATCGCGTAATTTGGAGTTGAAAATAATGGGATTGTCAAGGATTTTCCTTTTACCACATGTTACTAAAAACGCTTGCTACCTTCCTCCTATGTTGACATAAGCAAAACACAACATAACTTATACGGAAATAATTCTATTACTTAAACCTCTTGGAACAATTTATAGCTCAGATTGTTTTAAAGGATTTTGTTTGTAGCAAAACGCGATACCAAGTTGTTTACGTGTCACGAACGAGCTAGAACGCTTATCAAACTCAGGTGAAAGGGCAGCCCTTTAAGAAATGTGCTTCGCTTCCGAAAAAATTCCTTTCCTCGATTAATGGATGTTTTTTCATTTAGTGCTGGGGTAAGCTTTGTTGATGATACAGTTGATAGAGCCTCACTTTTCAGAGAATATTGGTGTGGGACACCGCTTGTTGCTCCCTCTGTTATAGTTTATGAGGAGTGTGAATTACTTTTGATAACAAATCTGTTGGCAACCAAAGACACCTTAATTTGGTGGAAGTATAACACACAACGATAAAATCTTGGTACTTTTGGGCATTCGACCACCTTAAGCTGTAGCCTGACTGATCTGAACCATTAAGTTTAGATAGTAGCCCAAATAAAACGTGTCGTGTATTCAAGTATCTTTATCTTTTAAGGTGCTAATTTATGTGTCACACCGCTGCGATTTCACATTGTTTATGGTGAAATCCAGTTATGCTTCTATCCTTGCCTATTCACTCCAGATGTGAGCTAATGGACGTGTGTTACTTGCCATTGGCGAGAGGAGCCTCATTATGGCTTTGTCTCAATTATTAATGATTTAAATCGCTTTCCAACTACGAGAAGAAGAGGGGAATATTCAATATCATGAAACACTGGTCATTAGTGTTGACGTGTGAATATTGATTCTCCGTGTTTCCTTATGGCTTCACGCGTTCTTCATCAAAGAGAATGTCAGTTAGAATATTCAAGCGGACGTTAACGGAAAATGTTCTTCAGGTCAGTGTTGTGTTTCGTCTGTTTACTTGTAACTGAGATATTTTACGTTTGTTACTTTTTGTCTGTGAACAATTTCCTTGGAAGCTACAAACATCTGAATTACCCAGCTTCCTAAGTACCGAATGTACAATTATGAATAGAGCACGCCAAAATAATCTCCCGTGAACACTGAGAAAGCACTTAGGTCAAAGCTTATTAACAACAAATCTCCTTTTATATCAGCAACTTAGATATATTCGCTTTAACTCAATTGAATATTTCTTTATTTTTGGAGACCTTGTCGAAGATGTTGAGCCGCTGCAGCTCAGTTTACGATCCACCTTCAATGATATTTTTTATTTTTAGCGAATCTACACCGGATATGCTGGCAGAATCAAATTACCTAATTTAACTTTGTGACTAGAAAAATTGTTGAATTATTTTAATTTCAATACCAAACGAATGACCAAGGTGAATTCGATCAATATCACTTGTTCTGATAGAGTAAAATTGGTTATACGCTGGGTAAACAATCAGTGTTTTAAAGCCTGAAAAAAAGAAAACATACAAAAGAGTCAAGAAGTGAATTTTGGTTACGCAATCTCAGTCTGTATATAAATCGAAACTTTATTATGGAAATCCAGTTTAAGTAGATTCGCGTCGTACTGTGTGGATTTGCAGGCTATTGTAACAACGAAGAACTGTTACTGACCAAACCTCAAATCTATTAATGATAAATCATTAATGGTAACTGTGAAGGACTGACGTCACTGTTGTGCACTTTGAATAATTTGTATAGGTAAGCAAATTATTTCGGGTACAACTTTCAGTAAATGAAGACCAAACATATTTTTTTAAACGAGCATCAAAATTGCATGATCCCATAGGGCGAGTGTGAATTTAAGTCTTTGAAAATATTAATAAGTTCACGAGAGGAATCGCGTGATCACCTATTGATACTGCACATGAAAAATAATTGATAAAGATTTTCACAATGCCCCGATGCCTTGACAGAGTGCGGGAATCCCTCACCCAGAAAAAATTAATCAAACCTTGCATAGTATATTGTTCGTTCAAAACAACCATGTTCAATCAAAACTGCAAATTTCTAAATCATTTTTTTTTTTCATTTTTTAAGCTGCTAAGAAGTTCAAAGTGCTACCAAACAGTGTTGTCACTTTATTTGCTTTGATTGTGAATGAACTTTCTTAGGCATTTTGTTGCCTGAAAACTGCATCTCTTCTAGCCAATCAAATTAGGGAATTTGTAGATGTACCATTTTTTTTTTTGGGGGGGGGGGCAAAATGTTCGAGTTCGTCTTGTGAAATTCGTACCATTGTTTATTTACGATTCTACTTTTTTATGATGTCAGTCACCATGACGATAGCACTGCATGCAGTTCTCCCTTCACTTTCGTATCACAATATCCCTTTAACTCAACAATTAACAGTGGATTTTATTGCAGAGCTTTATTGATCCCATTTGTTTCGAAAATGAAACTGTTTATAGTGAAGGATCGCAATTGCTGTAATTAATTTTTTACAGCGGTTTTTTTTTTTTTTTACTAAGAGACAGGTAACTGAACTTATCACCAACCAATCCACTTTAATGTTCGCTCTCAGTTGAAACGTGTACTGATATGATATCCTGCAACAATTGTCAATAGGTCATGAATAATGAGACTCAGCGGTGTTTTCTTCAACATTTTTGCATGGATGTAGGTCAGGACGAGCTTAACTGCAATATACTTTCCAACGTAAACCCACCGTTATCATCATCAACATCATCATCTTCATCTTCATCAACTTGAGACTATACCAAGGATTTACCACTGTCAACATGTACATCGCCAGAAAGGTAGCCGCTCGTTTTGCGACCTTCATTGTATTTGATTCAAAAGTTATTCTAAAGTTATCATTTCTTAGAAACGAGTTCCAAGAGACGCAGAAAGAACAAGCATGAACCATTCTAATATATGCTATTTACGAGTTGAATCGAGGTGTGGTTAAAGAAAGTAACAAATCGATTTATCGGATAAATGATATTGGCTTGGTGAAGCTCCCTGCAACACAAGTGAAAAAACCGAAAAGCTACTTTCAGTGGCTGAACTGTGTTTACCGTTTGTATTAATCTAAATAAGCAAAAGAACTTTTGTTGTTGAATTCTTGTTAACGAGTCACTTTCCACCGCTATTGTCCGACAACAATTTTATATAATCAGTCATTTTTCTTGGGCTCGTGCTCTTATGCGTCGAAATTCGTTTGTTTTTATTCTTCACACCCACTGGTATAAATATTATCAGTTGGCGAATGTCTCTCGGCAACAACAGTAAGTAGTCTTCGTCAAATGGTGCCATTTACAATTAAGCACCGTGCTTTCAAACACGTTCATGTACAGTATGTTTAGTTAATCGGCGGAAAACATGGTTTTTGGTTGTGTATGGAGACAGCGTTAACTATTTGCAACATGTACGGTGACTTTATCATAATTTATCCGTTTTCAAGTTAACTCTTTAATTTATTCTAAGCTCTAAAGCGCCAAACGTTGTTTCTCGCCCTCATGCCAAGTCACCTCTGCTTAAAAGTCTCGTTTCTGCGTTGGAGCCATTTTATATAGAAGGAGTAAAATGTAGTAAGGTGGCCCTCCTTATAGAAGGATCAGTACGTAAATTCGGAAAAAGCAGTATGAAAGAAAATTGTGATAAAGCATCCAGGTCTCGTCCCTGTTGGAGCTAGAGGGCTCCCGATATAGGAGCTTGGAACTGGGCGAAGAAGCCGAGACACCTGAGCTTCCATATCATTATTACAAAACAATCTTTCTCGGTGTTCTTTGTTGTTAATTAGCAATTGCATATTGTTTATAAAACTCATAAATTAGGAATTTTTAGGAATTACTACGAATTTAATTTGTTGTTTCTTGTTTATATTCCGCCTCGTGTACGGCTCGTTTAGCTACAAAGGAAACTTAAGAAACCGTTTATTTCAGTTTCAGTGTGAACCGACAAGTGTCATACGGCGTTTAAACAATGAACTGTGATCTGTTTTGCTTTCCCTCTGGGGTCGTTTTGTTCTCGTAACCCTGACATCTTAAAATCGTTAAATGGGAGTGGAGGAGAAAGTTGACAGGTAGAAATGATATATAGTCACTAAAATTGTAGTTCAGTTCTGTGTGCTATTTTTGCATTCGGTATGTTGTTACCATCTTCTCTCAGTGTTTGTTAATCACAATTAACGGACTTCTTCTTTGTATGCTTTGCAATGTTTTTTGGGGTACGAGCAAAGTGTAAAGATGTGCTCGAGGAAAAATTGTTTCTCTGTAATATCGTTGTCTTGGTACTAGTATGACAGGTACGTTTTACAGAGGATATGAATTCTTAAGCCGCCCGGTTTGCTCATCAATCGCTTATCAAGAGTTTTAGCAGTGCAGCCTGCTTGTTTATTCGTGGGCCAACTGGCGTGAATTTTGTGGTTAATTCTTTCGAATTTTCCTTCACTTATGCACACCCGCGGTGAACGAAAGTTAAAATGTAAATTAGACATTTCATTACTGCTATTTCCTCGGCTTATTGTGTTTTGTTTCTTAAACTGGTAACTTGCTGCCCCAAAGAAAAAGATGTCATAGTCGTCAGCTACCAGATTTACTGTTAAACAAATCACTGTCGTAAAACTTTTAGCGTGGAACACGATGTCGTCTGAATCACTGTTAGTCTACGATACGGATAAAGGCGGAGTTCTTCAGTTGCCACTTCGGGTAGGTTTGTGACCATATTTATCACAAAATTCTTATACTTTGTTATCTCTTGGCTTTTGTATCTCATATGCTGTCAATTGGATAAGGTTTGATATCAGACGCGTTATCAGTATCTTGATCAACAGAAAAATGCATGTCAAAATGAATTCTAATGCGCAAATGATAATGAGGAATTATTTGCATCCAGTCACTAACAACATTTCTGTTTGCCGGTAATTCTGACTAACGTTTGCCTTACGTAACGGGGGAGCTCTTCCACCCTCCAGTTCCTTTTCCTTTTTGTCTTTTTTTTGTTCGCGACCTGCACCATCTTTCAGTGGTAAAGGAACGTTGTAAGACGAAGCGAAAAAGAGACATCGTGTCCACTATTCAAGTTTTTATGTGAATTTTTAACGTAGAAGAATAAAGACGACAGGAAAACAAAGAAAAAAACGGTTCTTTAGCGTCATGAACAAAGATGTAATGATAACGTAAACAGTTTCTGTAACCGTTCCAAGAATGTTTTCATATTGATACGAGCACCTACAATAGTTGGCACGAGTGTCACGCTTGCACGCTTAAAGTTCAGAGGGCCTATTTCTTTACTAACCGGGTACTTCATGTCCTCAGAGTAAAATGAAAGGTGAAATTTTTTGAAAGCTCAGACAACATTCAGTTTAAGCGCTTTCATTGGTAATCAAAATTAAGTCGTGATAGTTACAATCGAGAAAAACCTATGCACAAATTGACTTCTATTGCGTTATAGGATGACCTATTACAACGCTGACTTCAATTTAATACCCAAGAAGTACAATGTTGTGACATCAGTCTTATCGCTCCGTGACTAAGCGCGAAAGGACAAGGGAAAACTGCTAACCCGTACGGCTTGACATTTGGCCATACTTCGTCACTTCCTCAAGGTTTTTATGACCCTGCTAAACAACAATTTCCGGCTTCCAGTGAAATTAAACTAATTTTGTTCGTGTGCGCAATAAAAAGAATTCCCTCGCCGGTATAGAGTTTTTAAAAGCTTGTTTAAATGTAAATATGCCGACGAAAAGTTTGACTGAACCATATAACGTTGATCATAAGCAATCACCTTCTTCTCTCTGCCCACGCGTTTCACAGCTTTTTTTCGACTTTCTAAGTCGATATTCGTTCAAGAAACACAAGTATCAGTTAGTAAAGAATCTTGGGATGAGAGTGATTTTCGGAAAAGTCTTTACTTTCTCCTTGTTTTGAAGGATTTACTTTAATAACTTGAGACACATTTGTTTTCAAGAACTCCTGCAAAGTGCATTTTAGCAAGATACTTCCTAGCAACGTCTCCCGCGATGTTTTTTATCTTTAACAGCTTGTGTCGGATCGTTACAGGGCGAATAATGCACTGGAGAAACAAAATGCTTTTAATTGTGCGAAAATTTCCCCTCTTTTTTGTTTTTCCCCTTCCCGTATCCGTTTCTAAACGATCAGAATTGTCAGACATTGAGGTTAGGTGCGGAGTTTATCATTACACAGCAAGATGTCCAAACGACACCTTTAGTTATACCAGACCAAAGGATCGACTTGTTTTGATATCAAGGTGATATTTGATGTGTTTCATCAGCCTCAGAAATACCATATAAAGTGTTTTTTTAGTGTCGTTTCTTGTTAAAAAAGAAGTACCAGTATTACAACAACAAAACATAACAACAGCAACGGAAAAAACAACAGCGATTAAAAAAGCAAAATAAACAAAATCATAGCTCAAAGAAGCTCCAGTGTTTTCACCTCGCGAAGTGTATGGGGAGCCATTTGTGCCAATGTTATCAGTCGCTAGCGTTAAAACTCAATCGTTAGTGCTAAAATATCAATCACTAGCGTTAAAACTCAATCGTTAGTGCCACCAACAAATCGTAATTGTAAATCAATTTAGTGTCCGTTTTAAAATGGTCAATCGTTAGTGCTGAAACTCAATCGGTTGTTTTTTTGCATCAAACGCCATCGTAAGACTCCAATGAAAAGCGCTAATTATAAATCGCTGGTGTTCTGAGGCAGATCGATAGCGCCAAATACCAATCATAGGCTTTTAGTGGCAAACGATGGTGTAAAACCTTTACGGTTCGTATTATTTTTAAAATACTGCAAGCGTAAAGATGTCAATCGCCAGTGTTGTCACCGATCGTTTGTGATAAGTAAAAAGCGCAACTGCAAAACATCAATCGTTGGTGCTTGTATCGATTTGTTATTGATTCTTACTCGAACTAGTATCCCGCTTGTCTTGCAAAGATGAATCAAATCTTGGTTTCTTTCTTGCAATCTGATAAGGGACATTGAAGCCCAAAAACATATTTTGAATAGTATTTTTTTAATAAATCCTTGCTAAAAAGTTATTGTAATTCTAAGAACTAATTACAAATTCTGATTAGATGATTTTCTCCACAAAGAACTTATTAAAAACCCAAAAATAATTTGCGATCTAAGATTCATTGTGAAAGCCAGAGATATGTTTGAAATCGCGAAAAATGTGGACAAGTATCCCTGGGATTAATTATTAATCGCTTCAAAATGGGGCAGTGAGCAGAAATATCGCACCTGAATGTTAATTGCACGTTCTCTTTCCCCAAAGGACATTATTATCTTCTTATGAACAGGATGCATAAATATTTTCAAGAACGTAATATGGAATTTACGTTCCCCATTCTTTCTTTCTTTCGAATGAGGAATAAATCCTACTAATTTCAAAAATAATATGACGAAAATTAAGCCTGGTTTGTCTGTCATGTAATGATCAAAGGATTAATGACTGAATAAAAAAAGAAAACAAGCACTTTTTTCCAAATCATTCAAAAATGTTTCGGGTATTGTGGACCGAGGACGTACAATAGAGAGTCAGTAAGAGATTTAGTTTAGGAGATATGAAACAAAAATTACATGAAATACTCGTGCGCTTCGCGATTAAGGTAACTTCCCACCTTCAGAGGCCGAAAAATCGATTTTTACTTTATTTGAAAAAACTGAATTCAAACATTCAACCTAACGTTTCCATAAAAAAAATATCTGGAATCTTTAAAAGCACACGGGTTATTTAGAAAAACGTATTTTCAACTAAAAGTTAATATATCAGGAAGGTGTCATAATCTCGGACC